CATTTTATTCCTATTCAAACTAGGACGCCTCAGCTTATGCCAAGTACCACACAGGTCGTTTTCCAGGTTGCTACATTCAACGCACTTGCCCTCGATGAAAGTGATGAGGCCATCAGGCTTCCAGGACCACGTACCATCAGGGTTGACCTGCAATTTCACTCACACGAATGCGCCATTGTTGGCATGCAGGAAACGCGTACCCGAGAAGGCAGGAGAACCACTGACCACTATGAAATTTTCTCGTCCGGCTTTGCCCAGTGTGGAAGATCCAAGCATCACGGTTGTGAGTTGTGGTTTCACAAGACTCTTCCTTTTGCATATGATGCCACAGGTCGTAGGATAACCTTTTCTGACTTCAGGGTCACAATTGTAGCATCTGATCCGAGATGGCTGATGGCCAGGTTGCAAGGTCCTTTCGAACTGTATGTCTTGGTGGCCCATGCCCCTTGCCTCACTTCCGATCGCACAATTGATCAAATTGTCGGTTGGTGGACTGCACTAGGTAGTATTATTTCTGCCGTGCCATCCAATGCCCTCCTGGTTTGTGCACTTGATGCCAATGCGCCACTGGCCGACACTGAGACACGATTCTTCGGCCAGCACCATGCTGAGCCACTCAACCGACCCGGCCAAGCATTTCAGGAGTTCTTGCTTTCGCAGGAATTGTTTGTTCCTGCCACGCTCACGTGGCACAGTGGTACAAGTGCCACATGGCGACATCCTGCAGGGCATTTGCTTCGAAGAGATTACGTTGTGGTCAACGCGCATATGTTTGCGCTTGTCGAAAAGTCCAGTGTGCTTTCTGACTTTGACAGTGGGTTTGGCCATCAGGATCATGTCCCTGCTTTGTTGTCCTTTCAGGGATTTCTTGCTACAGCACCGCCTGCTGAAAAACTGCGATGGGACTATGCCAAGATGGCCAGTCCACAAGCTCGGGCAGCTTTTGAGCAAGCTCTTCGTACATTGCCCATGCCTACATGGATTACTGATGTGGATGCACACTCCAGGATGCTTGAAATCAATCTTGTGCAGTTAGCTCAACAGCATTTTGGTACGCCCCCGAAGACTCTTAATCGGCCTGTACTCTCAGAGCTTACGAGAACTGGCATCAGCCTGAAGCGACAAGCCCTCAACATGCTTCGCACCGAAGGCATGAGTACGGACCCTCTTCTCTTACAAGAGCTCAAGGCCCTTGAACGGGTACTCAGACCCATGGTTTTGCATGACCAGAAGTGTTGGTATGCTGCATGGTTAGATGACATTGATGCAGCAGCCAGCCGCTTTGATTCTGCTCAAGTTTACAAAAATTGCAACGCCTTGGTCGGCGGCGGCGGACTCTTGACTCGGGTCCCCGTCCCTTGCCCAAATTGTTGGCCCTCAATGGATGCCCAGCACAATCGTATGAAGAGTGTCAACAGATTTGGTGTGAACAATTTGGAACCCTTGAAGCTGGCATTTCGGTTGACCCGGTTCAGCTGGCACAGCTTCATGGCTCTGGGGCCACAGGTGTTACGGCAGATCCTGACTCTCTCATGTCTGCTCATGATATCCTTGCTGCCATTCGACGCATGCGTAGTGGGAAAGTCCCAGGCCCTGGTAGGCTTCCCATCGATGTGTTGAAAGCAGGAGGGTTCACCCTTGCTCAGACTCTCCTGCCGCTGATGACAAAAGCCGCTTGGCACATGCATGAGCCATTGTCCTGGAAAGGAGGATTACTTACTCCTTTGTTTAAAGGGAAAGGATCCCCACAAAATGCGCAAGGCTACCGCTCGATCTTTATCTCTGATGTTTGTGGTAAAATTCATCATGCCCATGTCAGACAGGCCCTGGTTCGGGAGTGGACCTCCCATGAAGATTTGATCCAGCAAGGTGGCCGAAAAGGGTGTTCCACCGACATTGCGCATCACCTTCTTCACTCATATTTTGCATGGGCTCGTTCGACTTCAACATCATGTGCAATGTTGTTTGTTGATCTGCATGCTGCTTTTTACACGGTGATCAGATCCTTGCTTCTTGAAGAGCAGGTGCATGACGATCTCTTGTGTCAAGCCATGCAGCGCCTTGGCATTACACCGCAGGACTGGCACAACATCCTTGGGACCGTTCAAAAAGAGAATGCAGCTGCAGGCCTTACTACCTACCACAAAGGAGTTTTGGCAGACATGTTTGCAGGAACCCACTTTGTCATGCCTGGAGTTGACCGGCCAGTTGCCACATTTAGAGGGACGAGGCCCGGTGATCCAGTAGCAGATGTGCTCTTCAATATGGCTTTTCGTCTTATTGTCTTCGATGCCCGCGCAAAGTTTCAACATGAGTCCTCTCTCACTTTCTTAGGCACTCCACAGACGGCCTCAAATCTTGTTGCGCCATCGTCTATGCCTGCCGCTGGTTTCACAGAAATCACATTTGTCGATGACATTGCGTATGCTCTGCATGCTCCCACAGCGAGTCGGGTGGTTTCGTCTCTGCAGCTGGCCGCGTCATGTTTGCATGATGCTGCCACAGCTAGAGGTATGAAGCTTAACTATGAAGCTGGGAAAACGGAAGCCATGATTTTCTGTGCAGGAGAAGGCTCACGTGGAGTGCGACGTCAACTGTGGCATGATTTGAAAGGATTTCTGCCCATCGTAACCGAGCAGGGAACGCAATCATTAAGACTTGTTCATGCTTACAAACATCTTGGCTCCTTCCTTCAATGCCAAGCTGTAGTGCACAAAGAAGTCTCGTACCGAGTGGCGCAGGCCAAGAAGGCATTTGGTCAGCTCTCACGGCCCTTTTATTGCAAAAGGAATGTTGCGTTGCAGACCAAGACTGCCGTCTTTAGCGCATTGGTATGCTCACGCCATGCATACAATGCACATACATGGGCTTGGCTTACTGAAGCTGAGTTGTGCCGATGGGAAAATGGCTTGAAAGATGCGGTTTCCAAGTTGGCTGCTCCTCTCATTCGACCCCTTCCTGCTTTTGCATTTGCCGTAGGTGAATTGTGTGCGTTGCTTGGGTTGTCCTGCCCGACAGATCTTCTTCATGCAAACCGCCTGAGGTATGTTAAAAGAGCCATTACACATGCACCGCAGCTGCTGTGGCAGTTGTTGAATGCGACACATGGTTCCCAAGCCTGGCTTTCGATGCTGCAGCAATCTTTCGAGTGGTTTCAAATTCATTTTGCGGGGAAGTTTACTTTGCCTGTACAGGATGTTTGGGCCTGTTTGCAAGTTGTTGCCTTGGATGATCGCTGGAGCGGTAAAGTTAACAAGGTGTTGAAATCAGCCTCCAGACACCGCCAGGCTGCAGCTCAGGGCAAGCTTTGGACGATTAAGATTGAAAGATCACTGCAGATGTTTGCTGAGAATCAATTGATCCCCGATGCTGACCCTCAGACCCAGTGGCAATGTGCCCTTTGTGAGGAGGCATTTGGGACCAAGCGAGGGCTTGCTATTCATGCCCGTCACAAACATGGCTACACTAAGGTTCTGAAGTACTATGTGCTATCCGACGAGTGTTTTGCATGTGGTAAGAAGTTCTTTCAACGCAGCAGGGCTCTTGCTCATGTCACAGCGGTCCCCCGATGCCGAGATGCATTTTTCAGCTGTTTTGTGCCTGCGGCTGAAGACATTGTTGCAAGCATTGCTGCAGAGGATTTGGAATATGCACGGTTACAGAAGCAGCAGGGATGGCGTGCCACGAAGGCGTTTTTGCCAGTCCTTCGGATTCCCATGCCGTGCCTGCCCGCAGCTGACACTCCTGATGCAGCGTTGATGCAGCAGCGCTGGAGTGCTAGAACTGCCGACCCGGGTGGTGCTTTTCATTTTCTGGAGGGTTATTGCACCACGCCTGCAGTTTTGCAAGATCAGGAAGACGTTGTGCTCCCTTTCCTAGGACACACGCCAGCCGGGCGCGACCCAGGTAAGGCCGGCACTTTCCAAATCTTCGGCCTGGCGGCGGAAACCGCTAGATTGCATATCAAATGCTATTTGTTTGTGCATTTTTATAGCGGATTCCGTAGAGCCGGCGATTTGCAACATTGCATCGAAGCTCAGCACACTTTGGAGGGTGCCACCCTCTAAGGCCTTTCAGTGGACCTCTGTCTCATGAAGCAGCGGTCGGACCTTACTGACCCTGCCACATGTCAGTTTTGGAAGGATCAGATTCACTCTGGTCAGATCCTAGGCTGCGGAGGAGGGCCCATGACGTGGTCGGCTGCTCGCCATTCGCCTGGAGGGCCACGACCGGTCCGAAGTTTCGACCATCCTTGGGGAAAGCCGGGCCTTACAAAAGCCGAGTCCCACCAGGTTTCAGTGGGTACTGCACTTGTGCAGTTTTTACTTGAGCTTTTGACCCTTGTGGCTATTCGAGGGCTTTGCGGCTTCCTCGAGCACCCGGCATTTGCTACGTGGTTGGTTCGACAGAGGCCTGCTTCGGTTTGGACGTTGCGGGCTTTCCGGTGTATGGCGAAGCTGCAGTGCAGTACCATCCTCACCTTCGACCAATGCATTTTCGACCTTCCTGCACAAAAACCGACAACTCTGTTGCTTGTTCGCCTCCCAGACTTTGTCAGCATTGTGCATGGTCGTGGTCGCCGTGGTCGGTGTTCTCATCAAGGAGGGCACAAGCCCCTGCGTGGTTGCACTGTAGAAGGCCTTTTTCAGACGGCGAGGGCGAAGATTTACCCGCCGCAAATGAACAATGCATTGGCCATTGCCGTAGGTCGCTTTTTGGCTGATCGCAATCTTACAGGATCATATCAGCTGGCGGCGCAATTGGCCGAATTAAATAGCACGGAACTCATGGGTCAGGATATCGTACAGCCTGACTTTCATGGGTGAACTTTGCATGGCGGCAAAGACCAAGCATGACTCGTGCAGTAACAGCAAAGTGACAAAAATTGTATATATATATATACCAGTTGCATAGTCGATAGATTGCCATAGGCCATAGATATCTACAGAGTTCTTAGAGTTCAACGTATAAACCAAGTGCTACTTCGATTCCTTCACCAGGAGACGTTGGAGGAAGAGGAACAGGGTGAGAACTGGAACCTCATCGTCATCGTCAACGGCTACAATGCCCAGAGCGGCAGCACGACGGAGCTTTTGGCTGCGAATCTCTGCGAAGCCAGCTATGGAGCAGAGAAGAAGTCCTTGCAACTCGACATAGCTCGGCAACGATTTGAGGATGGTTTATAGTAATATACTAATTTATACCACCCATTTATGGTCCTATTATATCCCATTATTTATGGTTTGCAATTGCACGCGATTGCTTGTAGTTCTTTGCAAGCCTCACAGGACAAGTTGAATTCTGTCCAAAGAATATGTGTATACCAGGGATTTATGATAGTATATGACATCCTTTGCTGAGGTGAAATATGTGTTTTTTCTCTAAAACCTAGGTTTCAGTCCCCCGTTGACAATAAAACACTGCAACCATCGGTATTGTTCACGTTTTTTGGAGCAAAAATAAGTCCCCCAACATCCCCTCTTTCTGATGTTTGATCGTTAAATCATGTTAAATCATCTACTGTTGAATGGTTAAATCTTCAGTTAGTTGATTTACACGCCCGATTAATCATGAGCTAGTTCCATTATACCATTTCATAAGCCCCATTAATACCACATATATGATATGGGGGTTATACCTATTTATATATACCGTGCAATGTAGCATATTAATCGATTTGCTATCCCGAGTCCAATATTATATATACACACTATTTTATGATAAAATCATTAATCATCAACTAGTTAGATTACACACCAATAATCATGAAACCATTACATATAAAGCCATAGTTGGTTTACCATATCATAAGCCCCATAGACCATCAGAAAAACCCTAGACCCTCCAGCCTTGGGGCCCATGAAGGTTTAGGAATCTTCGAAGCTCTGACCTAACATCGACACTTAGCCCCAGTTGTTGGTTTAGCATATCAACAATTAATCAACCATCATGAACTCCAGTTTAACAAATTCTACCTACCCTCTGGTTATTCAACGTAGGGATCTGTTTTTTTTTTTCATTTTTAAGTTCGGTGAATCATCATGTTTATCATCTATAAATGGGCCATGTTCATCCATTTCCCATCCATTTTCCATAGCTATGTTAAATAACCAGAGGGTATAGGTATTGAATCCCATATGCTCCATGTATGGAATATTTACCAACATTTGCCCTTGTCCAAAATCACCCAAATGTAGGTAAATATACCAGCACCATGGAGCATCTGGGAATGGTGATCCAAACTCAGGATCGTGGTGCTGGAAAGTAACATCGGAAGTGGCTCCGTGGAGCCTGTCGAAGCGCAGGGCCTCCGAGGAGCCAAGGAGATTAATCGCCTGGTGCAACAGTCACCTGGCCATGGAGAAAGCCCACGAGGATTCGCGGGATTCACTGTGAAATGCGAAAAACACGAGCAAAAATAGGGAGAAACCCTGAGGATTCACCATGAAACATGTGGAAAAATGGCATTTCACTAGCAAAAACAGGGTAATCATTGATTTCATGGCGGCAAACATGGTGATCTTAGTAGTTAAGTAAGCCTTTTCAGCAGAATAAACAATATTTTTTGCTGCAATTTAGAGGAGGCACAAGGACATGGCTAAGGAGTTTCCGAAGCTTCTTGGATGTATCGTAGGGTTCTATATAAAACCAGTCAAACCTATCCACCCAATATTACGTAATATTAGATGCCCCCTCATGATTGGGCAGCCAAAGTGAAAAGATCTTCATACTAAACCCGTGTTTGGTTTGCGGGCTATGTGATATGGGATGAAATTAAACAACATGGGTGTTTCAATTTGGGTACACTAACAGTAGATACATTCAGATACTGGAAATCCTTGAGAAAAAATGGCAACATGAAACATCAATAAACATGGTTTTCTAAAATGGGCGATCCCCAGTCGTCACCATGGGTCTACATTTCAATGCTCATCCATGACGACTGGATGATTTTGGGATACCACCATGACGAAACAGAAACTTCCACAGAATGAACAAGCTTTGGTCCCCTCAACCACCGTTTTTTTACGGGGGCCCAAGCTTGACCGAATTTTGTGGCTTCCTTGGTCCACGAGTTGTGACCGGCCCCCTCTTTGTTGTTTTCATTTTGTTGGTTGATCTTCCCGTTTTTGGAACTTGATGCTTGAATTTCAATTTTTCCAGGGATTCTCATGGTGAAATCCCAATGTTTATCATTGTTTATCTATTTTCATGGAACTTGATGCTTAAATCCCACACCTATGGATGCCATGATTTAAAAACCTGGAAAAACGGCCCAGGAATCGTCAGCACGGCCGTATCTTTTCGGGCTATTCCTTGGTTGGCCATTCCTTGGGTGGCTTAGTGGCCCGAGTCATCGCTGTCCATGTTGACCTCACGCCGCGCAACTTGGCTCCAAAATGTTATGGGATATAGTGGGATATAATGGGATTATAATGGGATTATATATATATATATTACATATATATATATATATATCATTCTGGGTAAATTATAACGACCTCACTTTTCTCCCTCACTGAAATCATGGTTAATAAGGGGAATCATCCCAAAATGGCCTGATTTCAGGTTAGTGAATTATTATAATTTACCATGAATTTACGGCTTAGAACTATTGATAACCAACAACAATAGGGATTTGGAGAATTTATGGCCAATTGATGGCTTGGAACTATTGATAACCAACAATGGGGATATTTCATCCAAAATGTATGGTCAATAATGGGGATAATAATGGGGATATAATGGAATCATATGGTCAATAATGGGGATGATAATGGTTTGTAACCAACAATGGGCTTATAATGTGGATATAACTAATGAGGATATATTGGGGATATGAATGGAATATAAAACCAATATTGATATTACGCAGTCAAAATAAGTTTGAATTTAATCTTGCTTAGGTCAGTAGGTAGGAAATACATATCAAATTTCCTATCCTTTAATCCAAATATCCAATGTTGGCTTGTTATACTGGTGTATAAGCAACAATTATGGGGATATATTGGAGATAGAATATTTGGATTTGCTGAAGATGATTTGACATATGTTCTCCATGGGAAATCCACTACGACTGGGGAATCAAACAAAGCGCCAAGTTGATGGCCGCAGTTGGGTTGGGATATGCTCCAAAAAACCTTGGATGGGTTGGAACATTAACAGGAACAAACACATATTGAATGGTAAAAACCATGGTTGTTGAATGGTACAAACCATGGTTTTCGGTTAATTTTCCCAGCAAAACCAATCCACTGACTGAAAAACTATGGTTTTTCATAACCAAGTGGGCAAAGTCATCTGAGCGCTGCGATAAACCACTGTGATTATAAATGGGCTAAGGCCCTGGTGCTGCCGACGGGGAGTTTTTCTGTTTCCACTGCTACATGTTGTTGCACTTGACCCCATGCGTCGGGTACATCGTGTTGCTGAGGCGTTTTTGTCTCGCTGTTTACTCCACACGCGGGAGTGGGCACCTTCGTCGCGAAGCGAGTCATGCCGCCTCTTTTGAGCATCACAGGCATTGACAAAGGAACGGGATCGAAGGGTGGAAGGGCCTGGAAGGGTCATGAAGGGTCATGAATGGTCATGAATGGTCATGAATGGTCTTGGGGAAACCCCAAAATTAACAGATGATTTATGGATTTTGTGGTTTTCCTTGCTTAATTTGCAGACACCTCGATTCTAAATCCGGTGAAATTTACCAAGATTAAGTGGCAGAGGTCCAAATTTCCCAACAATTGTTCTCAATCCAAGCATCCATATCCATATTTCTTGCTTGGATGATCGCACTTCCCGAAGTCTTTCTTACATATGAACACATGTTGATTGTGCCGAAAGGGTGTCTGATTTTCCTTGCAACTTACATATTTTAAGCGCCCGTCCTTCGCTGCAGATGCTCCCTTGATCGACTTGGTTATCTGTGGCTGTGGATATCTGTGGATATCCGTGTCACGAATCAACATTTACCCCATTTTTATGGCCCAGTTTTGTAGGTAAATATTCCATACATGGAGCACCTGGGTCACTTATTTTCCATGATATATGGGTTGTCATCCTTCCAATTGACGAACTCCATCATTTTTCAGAGGGTTAGGTCAACCACCAACCAGGTTATTATATATTAACCATCATTAACCATCATAAACCATCATTAACCATATAATAACCATATATTCACAGTATATGCCAACCAATGGTAGGTCAACCACCAACCAGACGAATTCTTCGTTTGTAAAGCAACTGACGCGATCGGATCACACGCGTCCCAGGAGCAGTGAAGGAGACCTTGGAGCACCTTGGAGCACTGCGAGGGTAATCCACCTGGCCTAGGGGGGGTCGATAGGCAATGTTGACCGCACATAAGCTGGTTAAGGGTTAACTAGGGGTAACTAGGGTTAACTAGGGTTAACTAGGGTAAACTAGGGTTAACTAGGGTGTATGGGGGATGTAAGTATAGTATAATTAATGGGTTTGTAAACCAACTCAATGGCTTTAGATTTTAACAAGACATCACACCTCCGCCAGCATGTCATCGCCAGCTTCTTCGCCAGCCTCTAGAGCTTGCCAGCTCTCAGGGCCTTGTTGGACAGGTAAAATGTCAGATAGAATGCCAGGTAGAATGCCAGTTAAAATCTCAGATCAATTGCCAGATAAAATGTCAACGTATACCACTATGTCAGAGAATGCGTCAATAGAATGCCAGAATGTGTGGTCAGATAAAATGTCCGAATGTATGTCGGCATGTCAGACTATGCGTCGGATTACGTCCCATACAATTTCAGAATATATGTCACAATATGCGCCAGGGTGGGGATCACTCGGAGAACAGTCAAATCCCACCGAAAAGAGGGAATCTATGCTCTGGTAATCAGCTCCATGGCTTGCTGGGAAAAGCATATCCCTTACTTCGATGATTTTCCCAGCTATAAATTATGAACCTTCATTTATCAATCATATAGGTAAAACATCCCGCCGGGTTGGAAATGGGCCGAGTAAAAACAGCATTTTCATGTGACTGGCAAGAAGTCAATCATGCGTTTCGCAGTGTTTTTTCATGTTTTTATGTTGTCCATGAAGGTCAATTCTATTGTGATTTTGAATTTTCATTGGGATTTACAGTTGACATGTCGGAGTGCGAAAAAGGTTCCTTTTGGGAAGTCAGCGTGCCCAAAACCTCAGCGGCAGCCATTTTTTCCGGTGATCTCTACATCTTCGCTAAGTACGCACCTGTTTTCTCCAACAGGGTTTTTCCAACTACATTTGCCTCCCATCGCCACTGCCATGTGCGAACGTACGTCCAAATGAGGTCATTCAATTTTTGTTCGTTTTCTGGGCAAGATGTCAACTGATCGGGAACACTGGCAAGCACGTGAACGTTATTACCCCACCCCACCCCACCCCACCCCTGCGTGACGTGACACATCTTCAACGTAGCATGACGTATGTGCGCACGTGCAAGTGAACGTGCCGTGGCGTGACATCATGGGAGTGCGCAAGTACGTGAACGTTATTACCCCACCCCACCCCACCCCTGCGTGACGTGACAAATCTTCAACGTAGCATGACGTATGTGCGCACGTGCAAGTGAACGTGCCGTGGCGTAACATCATGGGAGTGCGCAAGTACGTGAACGTTATTACCCCACCCCACCCCACCCCACCCCAAGGAACATATAAAAATGCTAAAACGCTCGGATGGTTTTCAACCCGTAGGCTAAAACATGGTAAACACAATTTCATAAACCATCCCCCGGTCATCACTATTCCATCTTATTCCCAGTCATGGGTGGTTTATGACATTCGTTTTTTAACGACGATTTCCCAGCCAGCCATGCTTAGTATAGCCCAGGCATCGAGCATATCGAGCGGTAAGCTGAGGCAAGTGAGCAACAAGAGCGTCTTGGTGCGACTGGCCCAGGGAGAATACCTCAAAGCCTTCACGTCCTTTGAGAAACGTGTGGCAGCACTCAGGGCCAGGGGAAATATTGGAGGGAAAAGAGTCACAAAGTACAAGAGATTGCTGGGACATTATTTCAACACAGTGTTTTTGTTTTTGGGAATAGCGGTGTCGACATTGATTTTGAATTTTGGCGGCATACAGAGTGGATATCATGCAGAAGGTGTGATGAAAGTGAAGTAGAGAGACAACATGTTTCTTTCCCGTTGTCAAGGCTGCCGTCCACATAGTTCCCATTTTGGAACCCCCAAAACAAGATGATCTTACGCTTGTTGACGGTCCTGAATCTTGGCCATGTTCAGCTTGGGGAAGAGACCTATTCTAAACCTTGGCGAATGGTTTGTTGTGGATGAGCCGAGAATGGATCATAGCCAACTATTAGCATGTTTTGCAGGAATTTTGTAAAAGATAGACAAGTGACATGACTCGTTTTAGAAATTAGCACCACCCAGTCACTCAGAAACTTTGGTAAAAGCCTTTAAATCCTTTCTGTATTTGGTTTCATGCGTTTGCTGCTTAGCAGATCCAAAAAACCAGAATCACCTACAACAGGTTGAGATGTTGAGATCCACGGCCCCACGGGTTTTTTTTCACCCCTCGCACGATCATGGGGTCCAGTGAGGGCCACATTTGCTCAAAAAATTGTTTGGCTTATGAGATATGGGTAATGTATGGTAATGTTACCCCTGTGGTTTTTTTCTATACTTATTGTATCTTATTGTTGTGTCAGTGGCACCGAAACGTTTTCAGAATGGGGGGCCATGCCAATTTTCGTGATGGCAAAGAAACCGGGGAATTGCATTTTCTAAACCATCAAAGTGTTGGGAACCAACTTTTCAGACATGTTTTAGATCCTCAACATATCTCAACATGTTTGGAATGGTTTTAACGAATATCATCCTAACCGATTCAATTGTTTAAATTTAAACACTACACATGGTTTCTACATGTTTCTACATTTATACAGTTTGCTAACCAACTGTATATCAATTGGGTGATCATAATTTGGTACAACCAATCAACGATCCCGAAATTTACCAGAAATGATAAAAACCCTCCCCCAACTGTGGGTTATTATGAGAGCCAGACAACGCTGTAAATATCAATATTGTTTACTGGTTGGTGGTTTCAAATATGTTTTATTTTCCATTTCATATATGGGATAATCCTTCCCATTGACGAACTCATATTTTTCAAGATGGGTAAAACCAACAACCAGATTCCTCTAGATTCCTCTAGATTCCTATAGTGTCTAGCTAGTCTAACCATGGGGATCTAACCATCCAGTTTAAGATTAAGGTTTTTGGACCAAAATTCACTTCAGGAATTCAGGACCCCTATTTCTGGCATTGGATTTCCGTTTCGCTACAGGTGCTGTACGGCTCCCCAGCTGATTGGTTGGTGGATTTCGGCAGCGCCATTTTGACGCAGATCAACGAGCTCCAGCCGTGGCTGCGTGACAAATGGATCGTGTCGTTTTTCCGGTTTCAAGGGGATTTGGCTCCTACAATATGGGGCCCCCCAGTTATAAGTTGGTTTATAAACCCCATTAACTATAGTTATAAGTACCATAAACCATAGTTATTGGAGTTATAAACCAACTTAGCTATCTTGGGGGCCCCACATTGTAGAATTTCCGGGATCCCCAGTACCTAGCGGCTAAGCCAATACTCAAACATCCTCAAACGGTCGACTGGAGGATTTGGGGTTTCATGGTTGTTCCCCTTCTTGAAACACGATAGATTGGGGGGAAACAAATTGGACCAATAGCTCATGGGAGCTTTTTTTAAACAAGACATAGGGATACAATTCTAAATATGATTTAACTAAGCATCAATTTTTGCCGGTTGCTATTTAAACTGATAACATAGAAATTTTTAGGATGGGTTACATCCAAAAATGCAACATTTCGAAATTAGTGAGTCAATCGGTCCCTAAATCGTCAACCAATTTCCATCCGAGAAATCTTCAGGGAACACATGTGAACACTGTTTTAAAGAAAAACTATATATACAAAATGACATATACCAGAATCCTAGCTTTGGTATGAAGCAGGGACCAAGACAAAAGAGCAAAGGCAAAACATTGAACACACATGCAAACTGTATCAAACTGTTAGTTGGGGTTGTTGCTTTGGTTCGGTTGGGCATTTTTGGACAACGATCATAGTCTATGAACTCAGCTGTTGATGACGCCTGGAATTTTGATGGTTGCTGGGTCAAGATTTCAGGTGGTGACCACTTTTCTCCATAGATTTTGAAGATAGTTTGAAGAATCGTTCAACTCTATGAGCAGCATGAAGGTTCACCAGTGCACCAGTTATATTGGGACCGGCTGGGGGTCACCCCTGGCCCCTAGTTGATATTTTTTTTCGGAGTTCTACTGTCCAATATGCCAATATTTCAGATGATCAATGACATGATCAGTGGAATTTGGGTCTGAACCAACCAGGATCTAATGAATCTACTGGAATGACGTTTCCGGTTTTCACTAAGGTCGGCGAGTGGCATGGAGATTGATGATGAGCATTTCGGCGGAATACTCCCAATCCTTGACCAGGGATAATCAGGGTGATTATCCCGTGGATTCCCGTGGATTCCCGCTATCAGCCAAGTAGTATTTCATGAGGGAACACGGCGAAGACGGAGTATTTTGAATGGCTCATTTGGCATTTTTTTTCGTAAACCATCCACCATCCAGGCTCCAATGTGATCCAATGATTTTGACTCATCTCCGAACTCCTAGGAGTTTCCCAAGCAGGTAGTACATGAATTGGAGATGGTGAACCAAACCAATCAATGTGCTAATAATTGGAAGTTTATCATTAATTCAACCAAACCAATTATGATATGGAGATTGTCATATTCAATGAAGTGGGAAGCCCCATTAATCAACCAAACCATTTTGAATGTACATGTACACCAGTGATTTTCGAACAATACCCCGTAGGTTGTTCCAGTGTACTAGGGTCAATCCAGATTTTTTCGTTTTTCCCATGTTTAGTTCGGGGATTCAACATTCCTCATGTTCGGCAGTTCACAACATGCAGCATGATAGCCATTCGTCTCAGGAAACATGGTCATTTTACTTCTTTTGATCTACCCATATCTACCCATTCTTTCAGTTCTCCATGGTGCCAGGTATCCCTTGCTGCACATTCGGAGTTTTAAGCAGCCGCCCAGTGCTTGCGATGACGACACGGTGCGATGCACTGTGCTGAACTCCATCCTGCGGCAAGCGACCATCGAGCCTGGTGTAATGTTTAGGTACGTCATACAATGGTGATATGTTGTCTATAAATGTCTATAATAAAATTTTATAAACATAATGGTGTCTAGAGTTGAATATGATATATATATATAGATACATATTCATATTCTCCACTTATAGCACTGAAACGTGGGTTTTGAAAAAGTGGTTACATCATTCAAACCTTTTCGTCCCCAAAAAATGGTATTCGCCTGACATAGTGGTTCAATGTATTAGATCTATTATAGACTGTCATGTAATCCCATCCCCTAACATTAAACATTCCCATCTATGGTCCCCAATATCGGTAAACCATGGTAAACCCCTATTATATAACCGAAATGATTTTTCTGGAGGCTGTTTAATATTATTTGATGATAGGGTCAGATGATAAGTACAATGAGGGTCCATATGAGGTAACCAAAAATGATTGGAAACGACAGGTGACGGTTTTGTTGTAGCTGGCGAAATTGATTTTCTTCAACAAAAAATGAATTTAGGGCCCAATTTTACCACATGTCTGCGGCAGAATACTAAAGCTCTTATATAGATTTTTCCTATCAAAAAAAAGCCATACTGATCTAGACCCTACTGATCTAGGGCTGGTCTTTGCTTCCCTGACTGCCCATTTCTCCTAGGAAAACCATGCCTTTTTTAAGAACCGCTGGGGATGGGCAGGTGGACTGGTCCATATATCGACCAGAGAAGCACTCGCAGAAGGAGAGCGGTTGGGAAAGCTGATGGGTGATATGATATAATATATATATATGTTATACATATCTAATCATATATATATATACATATCTAATCTATATATGATTCATATTTGTATATGTATATAATGTATGCAATCTATGTAATTGTGTATACTGGATGTAATGATGTTTTTCAGACAAGCCCATGTATATCCATTTATATTTTTCTTCGAGCACTAATTTGCATCCAAACATTGGAACTCAATTCGGGATCAAAATTGTGACCATTGGAACACAAACGTACTGGATTCGCCGGGCGGCCGTGCTACTTGGAGCATTGTAGAGCAAGGAAAGCATGAGATTCTACTCTCCAATGAAACATCGCTGCGCGGAAAATCTCCGGAAATTGGCACTCCAATTAGAAAATCATCTTTCAATGGATGCTTTTCCATTGCCATGTTTGATTACCAGCTGGTAGATTCTATCTTCCAATCATAGGGGACTTTTCTGTTGCGTAAGCCCTTAGCGCAATGAAGTCCTTGCAGACTTCCTTTAAGGGACAATTTTGACTGTACACGCCCTGATTCAAAGTTGTGGACCCATGAGTTTCATGTAAATGATAGAAGTTGGGGCCCCCGAAGGATAGCGAAGTTGGTATATGACTTGCTTAACTAGTAGACTAGGCTTAGCCTTTATGCGGGATTTTACATGATATGAACTTCCTGTGGTATTGATATATGCCCAGTGATACACCGATAGGTTATTTAAATTGATTTAACTAACAGAGCCATGGTATAGATGGGCCCATAGAAATAGATGGTTTACCTATTAAAAATGGTGGATTTTTCCATGGCAAACTGTTAGTCATAACCAGATGAGGACATGACTCCGGCGGAATCCTGGGAACTGACGCGGCATCTGGCGACCCAGCTGGGGTCCTCCTTTGCGTTGCCACGCGGAAGCAAGTGCTCCGTGAGTGCGGACTATTGCGCCGCTGGGCAATGCTGGGCATCCGCTCGAGTTTTCCGGAGAGTTAGATTTGAAACTCCATTTTTTTCTAATTTGATGGTGCAACCAAAAAATGATTTGTACTGGCAACTGACTAGTATATATATATATATTTATTTATATACTAACATGAAAATCAATGGTGGTTAAAATCGGTTGATCATTTGATCAATACTCATGTTGAATGATGATGGATATCAAAAAATGCTTGGTGCTTCATCTCACAGAACGTAGATGAGTTCACCCCAGTGAAAGAACCTAGTGGACAATCAACGTATACTTCGCCTTCTGCAGGGTTTGTCAGCTATTTACTAAGTGGTATGTTCCAACAGCTAGTATTTGTAGCAATGTGGGTAAAACAATGCCATAAACCATGCCCAATTTCAGCAATGGGTGTTATAAACCATTCCCAAATGGGTGGTTTATTATCGTTTGCCCACATTAATTTTGATTGGTGCTTTATGAGTGAGCGGAGATCAGAACATGGGATGCGAGCGCACAAGGGTAGACCCACACCCCATTGATTGTGTGACATGTGGGCATCGTGTTTGGATTTTGGGTCTGCCCCAAATCCCATGGTGGATCAATTTATCATCATTTTCTCATGAAGACTGCTAGTTTGGTATCCCCCATGGGGTTTCTCCATGGCGCATCATGGCGCCAGTAGACCTTGGTTTGGGATGAGACAAAAAGACCGGTCCTATTTTGGTTTTGGTCATTTCATGTGAAAATCCTCCCAGTGTTGTTGTTTATATCATTTTATATGTCCCTTGTTTCATTGGCTGCATTCCTATTGGGAACCCCCCTGGTTGACACCATCCGTGCACTTCCAGCCTGCGCCTTTGTAAGAAACGCACTTTGTTTTGTTCAAATGTTGCAACTCCAAAATCCAATGCTTTATTGTATGGTTTCTCATGATTGGCAAGTTCCCCATTTGGGACACACCCACATAATTCAGCAACATGTTCGGACTAAACTAATGGCTGGTGAATGTCCCCATTCTTCATGATTGAACATGATTTCTGATGGCTAAGCGGCTAAGTCTCCAGCTAAATCCTGTGGTGAAAGTAAAAAATCATAAAAAAATCACCCAGTTCTTGCTTGAATCGCTATTTTGGATGCTTAACTCACCAATTTTTGATTGTCAAATCATGTTTTTTATCACCATTTTGGATGGTGAACCGGTGAACCTTCAAGGCCTCGGGCCTGGAATGTCGTCGAGAGCTGTGTCAAGCTAAGCTTCTGCGGACGGAAGACTGCGCGGGGGACTCCCGCGAAGTCTGTGAGAGACCCGGCAGTTTTGATGGCGGCAGATCCTGGCACTGGGACACCTTTAGTGGATGGTAAAATATGGTGAAATATGGGGAATCTAGGGGAAAGATGTGGGAAATATGGTGGATGGTTGCGAAATCCAAATCACCAGTTGATAGGAGGTGAGGTGAGTTTATCCCATTATTTATAGGTGTTCAACCATCCAAAGGTGGTGCAAGATGGTTGATTTGCTGGAAAATTGCTGGAAATTCCGAACATCACATGGATGATGACTGTGGGTACCCCCTTTAGGAAACCTGCCTATCCCATGGGTCAACCTAACGGTTAGATACTTAAGTACTTTAATCTTTTGCTATCAATGGTAAAATGTACCAACCGGCGATTTTTTTTTGACAGGCATCTAAGATTCACAATGACATTAATATTAGAGGGATGGAATTGCGGGAAGATCTATCAATATCGTAATATGAAAGATGGAATCTATCTAGGAGGTGTTTCTACAGTAATCCCATCCCCCTAATACTAAGCACCTCCTAGAAACCATGGTTTAGGAGTTGATAAAATTACTTATATTTGGGACCATTTAGGATTTGTTTAATATTAGGTGGATGGGATTAAGCCCCAATTAAGGTATAAAAGTGAGATCCTACTAAAATAGTGGTAAATTGAACACGTTCTGTCTTTTTTTGGGTCATTATGTTGAATTGTAAAATGAATAGAAAGTAAAGATTGAAATGCTCAATTTGGGGTTAAGCATGGATCAAGCAGATTTTAATAGCGAGGATTTTTGAGTTGAGATCATATTTGCCATTGCAACTGAATTTAGTTTATTGCGGATTACGTAGCAAATGGTTGATAAAAACGACAATTGGTTGCAACAGCCATCATCATGGCCTTCGAATTATGACCCATATAACAACATATAAGAGACAGTGCTGGATGGACTTGACAGCCTCATAATATCTCATAATTACTTTGATGATTGTCGTGTTTGGTTTCCTGCAAAGTCTTGGGGATACATCCCTCTACGGCTTGTGATTTACACATCGTATATTATACCCTCTGGTTATTTAACATAGCCATGGAAAATGGCCCATAGAAATAGATGATTTTCCCAGCTAGAAGCCTCCATTTATGGTTGGGATTTTCCATGGCTATGTTAGTCATAACCAGATGGTAGCCCAAAATGTTTGTTATAACGTAGCTGTGGACATTCCAAAAATCTCCCTCAAAGGCCAGGGACTCCTACTATGTAGGTCCTCATAGACAATCTGTAGAAGGTGGACCAAAGAAGTACGAGTACGTCCATGCATGGATCCATAATATGCTACAAAAATGTGATATATCATGATATATCTTGGATCCAAAATATCCTCCATGAAATCCATCTAAGAGTATATCAGTATATCCGGAATCTTGGGATCCCGGACCGGACCAATCATGATGAGGACATCACCGAGTCGCCAAGACTGGTTTGAAATGACCACGGAGACGTGAGGATAGAACCATAATCCTAGAAAGAAAGATGGAAACAAGAACAGATGATATAATAATGTCATAATGTGATACAAAACATCTGGGTAAATTTAATCACGACCTCACTGTTCTCCCTCACTGGAAATCATGGTTAGTAAGGCAAATCATCCCCAAATGGTCTCAATTCAGGTTAGTGAAATATTATAATTTGCCCAGACCCATTATATAACATGAGTATGAAGCCTTTGCAGAAGTTTTAAACAAGAAAGTGCTTTGAACTACGTTGAAATCGACGCCAAGAATCCGTCACGGCCGTTGGCACAGTTGGTGGACCCAGTCTTTCCCATCAGAAAGTGGTTTTCCAAACCATTTATTAACAAGCTTTTAAACACAATTTATCAATGATAATAACTGCTAGAATTTAATATCGAAAAATCCAAAAATTCAGTTTTCAAATTTTTCAATCCACACTTATATCCCATGACGGATCCATGTATGGTATATATACTAACATTTGGGGTATATTGATGGGATCCATGTTGCCATATATGGCATACATGGATCCTATGGGTATACACTTAGAATTATCACACCTCCGCCGAGGTATCTGATAGGTTTCTCAGCGGCAAGCAGAGCACACCGAGGGGTGCCCATGGGTCACCGTGGTGAGTTCACCGTATATATCCCTAATCCATCCATAAATATATATATATGCTATTTCCCCCCAAAAAAAACCTGCCATTTTTTTGCATTTTCACTCCATATATATATATGTATATATTATACATATATCATATTTGGTATCTAAGGGTAAAAAAACGAGATGAAATCTGTCCACAAATTTATCCACTTCTCACTGGAACTGCACCCGCATGGAATGTCTATCAACCAGTGGAAGGGACATAAGGTGAAGGCACTCCTGGCTTTCGATGAGTCTTTGATTCCTGGTTTCATGATGGAAAACTTGGTCAACCGACTGGATGGCTAGTTGCTGATCCTTTAACCGTTTGCAAATGGGAGATTATCTATGAACCAGCTAAGAATTTTAATTTTCTTGCAGAGCATCTAAGATTGACAATAAAAAGAGGGATTTTTCACCATCGAACATGGTGAATCACACAGGGATTGAATCATTTTATAGACAGGGATTTTTCAGCCGTTTATTCAAGATGCCCCCAAAGGTTCTGTTTGTTGGTTGACACCCCCAATAGCTAACGATATATCATGATATATCATACTGTTAACCCTGGTGAAATTGGAGAGACTGGGGGCATTCCATGACAAATTTCAACATCCTACTGAGCTCCAAAGCCACCTTGGGAATCATCATGGCACCGGGGGGAACCACATTGTAAGATCCTGAGAAATATGATTTGGCTGGTTGGTGGTTTGGAACATTTTTTATTTTTCCATGTATTGGGAATAGTAACCGCAACTGACTTTCATATTTTTCAGAGGGGTAGGGCTCAACCACCAACCAGTTGGGTACTAAAATGACACTTCAATGGAACTCTAGTGACTAGTCCTCGAATGTCATCGACCTTGTATTGCCAATGTCCAGATCGATCGAAAAATTTCTCGCTTCGGTGACCAAAATTCCCAGCCCTTTCGAAACCTTTATGAAAGCATGAAAAGGTACCTAAACTAGAGCTACTGCACCATATACTGACATACTTGGGTGGCATATCCCCTTACATATCCTTACTACAGGCATTACATATTGTACCTCCAATTTTGTTGCTACCAAAAAGCCATGCTCAGCAAACCAGTTGCCATCAACGACATCCTGGAGCGATTCACGGTCATTGTGACCAGCAGTGGTGGAGGTGGTCACTTGGTTGCGGCCAAAAACTTGCAGGAGACCCTACTGGAGCAGGCCGTCGGCCTAGCTGTTGAGATGGTGTCATTCCGTGGGATCCACTAGGCCCTTCCATTTGCCAAGGGGGTCATAGCAATCATCATAATCATCCCAAATAGGGGAATAGGGCTAGATCCAATAAGCCCAAAAGTGGGGATGGTGGCATTGGCGGGTCTACCACGTGGCATGGAAGAATAGAATTATCAGCATGTTTAACTCATGACTTGATCCCTGGAACTGTTTTTTTGTTGATATCTGTCATAAACACCCTAAAATGCATAGAAGCGTAAGATTAGAATCCAACAAAACTGTCCAATTAGATACCCAACAATGTGCTTTATCGTGGTTTATCATCATTTTCCCCAAACAAATGCCATAGATTTGGGATGTTTTAGGGATACAACGGATTGGACAACATTGGACAGTCCAGTTTTTTTTTTCGCCAGGCAGACGTGGACTTCGAGGACCTGGAGTCCGTCCTGAACAGCCAGGGCCACGTCTTGACAGCTGAAGCCAAGGCGCAGGCGGAGGCGGCCATCCAACACGTGCGCGGCGGCAAACCCCCGCTGGATCCTCGGTACCGAAAAGGTCGCCTCAGGTTGAACATGGCCATTTCGTTCGTTGGTTTACCATGGTTTACCCTATGAAATATTGGTGATTTTCCAGTTCGCGAGCTGTAAAACGTTTAGCACATTGGATTTAGCTATTCAAAATGGTGATTTTCTAGAGCTATGTCAGTTTACCAGAGGCTACCTGCTGGGCACTGATGGTGATTTGATGTTATTTGAATGGGAAATCATTGGAACATCAACTAAAATTGGGGATGCAATGGGATATGAAATATAACTAAGCAATAATCGAACATGGCTGGCTGGGAAAACTAGCCATGGAGGTTTTTAGCGGGAAAAAACGAACCAAATGGGCGTTCCAGCAAGCCATGTTTGAGTATACAGGAGGCTATGTATTAGCAACATGTACGGATATGTTTCAGCAACAAAACAGATGGATTTAAGTAACCAGCAATTTGGATCCTAACTAAACAGCAATTTGGGTCCAACTTGAGGTAGTTGATGTGGCGGTTACCCAATGCGATAAACCTGCCAGTTTTGGACGGTTTATATATATGTTTATACTGATGTGTACCACCATTTACCACCCATTTCTGGTGAATTGGGAGGGTTTACTATTGAAAATTCCAATGCAGATTACACCAGACTGAGTGACTTGCGAATTTCTGGATTACTACCACACCCTTGGGTGGGGCCAATGTCTTTGGGATGTTTTTGGATAAAAATCTCATCGGAAGAGGGTTTAAGAGTTTAATCGCTGTTCTTCATGAAGTCCAGTTTTGGGTGTCCCTTTAAAAGGGAACTCGAATGCTAGAATAGTTCGGAAGACATGTGTTGATATGGGGAGAGTTTTTTTGATTCAACTTGCCGCAGGATAGGCAACGGCGGAAGGTGGATCCCCAGGGATCCCCCCAGTGAGAACTGGAGTCGGTGTATTTCCAGAAAATCCATCTGTAAATGGATGAGAACTGGGGGTATCCCCATGACGAAACGGAAACCTCCATTAAAAAAAAACAGAAATGTTGATCTGTGATGAGATTGAAGAAGGTTACCCCAAAAAAGTTATAATATGCTCGTTACTATCTGCTTTACAAATGGCATGTATTCCCCTCGAATGAAATCCGTTAGTTTTGCCGAAGGAATGGTTGCAATAGCAGCTCGTCATGTTGACAATGGGACATGGTTGGAGATCTATAGACTTCATGAAGTGCTGAGAAACGACATGTTATTTCATAGCACGTCATTCTCACAATTATGTTAGTGATATTCCAAATATGATATCTATAAAATCTATAAAATCTATAAAATCTATAAAATCTATAATATCTATAATATCTATAATATCTTTAATATATATAATATCTATAAAATCTATATCTTTATCTATATCTATAACTATATCTCTGTCTATATCTATATCTATATCCATATCTATATATATCCATTATATATAGAGAGAATAGCATGTAGTCCATATGTCCTGAGGAGATGCTGGACCTGATGGAGTCGGAGTGCACCACGGTTTTTGGCGTCGCCTTGGGGGACTGGATGTCGGAGCAGTGGAACCGGCGGCAACGCGCCGGCGACATCGCGGGGCTGAAGCAGCTGGCCACCTGCCGCGCTGGGAAGCTGGCAACGAAGAGAAAGGGAACATGGCAACACATGGGGATTATAGTGGATCTTAGTTGCGAAAAAAGTTGATGTTGGTTGACATTTGTTGATAGCTAAGTATGTCGACATGTTGGTGAATATAACTTCGCTTTGGGCTCTTCGGGAGGCTATAAACCAGTCCAGACATCACAAAGGGGCGCAGCAATAAACCAAGCATGCCCCTCATGGCTTAGGGAACCCCCGAAATCCCATGGTGATTTCTCTACAAAACGCATGGTTGAATTCACCAGGAATCAACCATTGGGCCATGGATTTGCACCTTGGGATTTTGGACGCTGCTGGATTTATTGACAATGCCTCTTCTCACCGAAATGGAATCTTGAGATCTTGAGTCCACTGCTAGGATGGTCTGATAGTGGTACTAAAGTTGGATCCCGTTCTACCAATCTGAACCACATCTCCATCCCCAATAGCTATCCTTAGTAAGCTGCCACTGCTCCAGAGTTTGCTCAGTTGATCCGCCGATTGACATTTGGGGGGATCTCCAGATTCCCCATGTCGGGCACTTAAACATTACCCTCTGGTAAACAAACATAGCGATTGAAAATGGCCATTTATAGTTGATTTTCCCATTAAACATGGTGATTTTCCATAGTTATGCCAGTTTCCCAGAGGGTACTTGAAATGGTGATTGAATGGCGGCTTCACAAACCCCGCAGGTTTGTTAGTCCTGCATCATAGATTGTACCTTTCACTTCGTATCATTTCACCCGTAACTTGAGAAACCTTCTAAAGCTATTCAAGGCCAATGATTGAGAGCCTGGTTCTCACAGTCCAGTCCATATTTGGAGGATCATCCAACCACTGTGGTTTTCAGTAAGTGGTTAATGACCATATAGTTATAATCCATTACTGGATGGGACAACCATGGATAACCTACTTATCTGGGACTTAAGGGATTGATAATGGGGACAAACTTGGATTGAGGTCGCTCAGCAACCCTGGACGCAGAGTATTTTCGGGCAGAGCTGCAGAACCTATATGACAGCCGTCTGTGACGGCATGAATTCTCATGGCCTCCCCGTAACGAGGCGCTTGTGTTGTGGTTTTGGATGGTGTTTCTGAGATCAAGACATGGTGATTTCACGACGAAACATCAGAAAACAGAGCCAACAGAACATACCCTCTGGTTAATTAACATAGCCATGGAAAATCCCTTATAAATGGAGGTTTCTAGCTGGGAAAATCATCTATTTCTATGGGCCATTTGTCCATGGCTATGTTAAATAATCAGATGTCGACGCTCACATGTTTGGTTGATTGTTTGACCCTCATCAAACGTGGCTGGGAAATTCCTGAAGTATAACTCTATAACTATAAATGGAGGTTTATATATTGCTGGTTGGTGGTTTCGAACATTTTTTATTTTTCCATATATTGGGAATGTCATCATCCCAACTGACGAACTCCATCATTTTTCAGAGGGGTAGGGCTCAACCACCAACCAGCTATAAATGGAGGTTTATATATTGTAGCTTGGAAAATCATATATAGTTAATAGGATTTTCCGTTGCCAGGATTACTGGACGGCAACTATGAACATGTTCAGTGGCAGATGTTTCAATGGCCAAAAATAGCATCGACCAGCCATGATTGTGGTGTTGTTGCATACCCGATGTCTTGCTGCGTCCAATTTTATTCCACGTGTTGGTTGGTTAGTTAGACTAAATCCCGAAAGCTTGATGGGGGTTTTCCGAACCTTAAAACATCCGTACCCGCAGAAACATCAGGCAGAAAAATGGTTGGGGTGACCGGCACCACTTGAAAGTTGTGCTCAGCAATGGCAAATCACATAAATCACAATTTTTTAGTTGGCTAGAGCACCATGTTTAGGTGGTTAAATCACTACCCTCTGGTAAAGGTCAACATAGCGAACTGAACAATATCACCATCTTTTTCATAGGCAAATCAACGAACTAAATGGTCCATTTTCAATCGCTAACCGTTAGTCATTACCAGAGGGTAACTACGTATAGTATACTATAGTTATAGTAGCCATAAACCATAGTTATCAAGCATTAACCATATACTGTATATTGCTCATAAACCATAGTTATAGTAGCCAATTATATAACCATAGTCCATCTTCAATAGCAAACTGTTAAACCATATATATCAAACATTAATCATATACACATATATATATATATATACATATATATATACATATATATATATACATATATATATACATATATATATATATGTATATAGACATACATACATACATACATACACATCTCGGTACTTCAGTTAATTTTTCAATCCAGGCTCTACACCACTCAGCCATTGCTGCTGCAATCTCTGTTGGACGCCTGCAGTTCCAAAGTGCAGGCGGTCGTTGGTCGTGGATGGAGGGTTTGGATCTACTTGGCTGCGGTCCCAAGGTGACCAGTTTGATATTTTTTACATTACCCGTACAAACATCATGTCGTGGGGTCGTAGGGGGGGGGGGTGACCATATATATGTATATATATATAGAAATAATGATGTATATAATGATGTATATATATATTGATGTATATGATGATGTATATAATGATGTATATAATTTTACCATAGGTTTTTCGGCGCTATATCCCAACTTATGCTGGTTAGGACCATGGTCCCACTAAGAAGCCAACTGCACCCCCAAGCTTATGGTGGATCCAACACTCATGCAGCCATAAAATTGTAACAAACACGGGCATTGAAAAAAACAACGGATTGTAGTTTAAACAGCAAAGAATGGAGGGTCAAACAGCAAAAGGTTGAGGGTTAAGCAAAGGGGAACCATCTGAACAGTTGGACATATGATTGAACCAATTAAACTGGGCTGGTGGGTGTCAGAGCTTGTTTGTTTCCCTCCCTTGAAATAGTATAATGATCCCCCAACGACTCGGAATTTTGGTCCTGAATCAGATATTAACGGGACGTCATGAGTAAAAAAGTCTGATATGTGCCTTAAACATTGGATCGTTCAATACTAAACTGTCATAAAATGTCCAACTCCTTTAGCTAGTGGTCCAAAAAAGTGCGGAAATTTGACCCTTGCTAGAAAGTTACTAGAATCATCGGAAAATCGGTTAAATTCGTACTTCCCAAGGTTGTTGGGAAGTCTCCGGTGTTTGTCGATGATAGCAGCTGCCCAGCAGAATACTTGGGAGGCCCACCTCGTTCAATAGCTGGGGTCATGAACCCGGTATGGTTCCTAACCACTTACTACCAGGGGTGCCCCACCAGTTGTAAGTTGGCTTACAGAACCCTGTTTTTTTAAAATGTTTTTTAATAGTTCGATAGTATAAAGTAAACAATCATAAACCCATTCGTGAGTTATTGTAGTTATGTTAACCAACTCAGCGATACTTTGCTATACTTATCTATAGCTATAGCTATACTTAGCAAAACAACTATCAACTAATATCCACTCTAATCCCATCCCCAAAATTCCCGTGAGTTTGGGTCAGAAACTGGGGCACGTCGCGTGAGGTGGACTTGTTCATGACAGATCTGCCGACCACAGAGGCAGTGCATTTCTTTCAGCCATTGAAACGAGCCTCGACTTAGAAGCGCCAGGTGGGAATTTGATGGGAGAATCATTGAGAATGTGGATTGTAATGGATTGTAGATTTAGTAAAGTGTTTTAAAATGTTTTAAATATATGAGCATGAGTTGAGTATGGGTGAATTACGGGTTTAATGGGATAATATCGGATAATAATGGATAAATATGGGTAACCCACCCCACGTTATGGGTTGATGCTGCTTAAGAGCCTCCATGATTTCTTTTGGGAGGTTCCTGTGGCGGGGTTCCGTAGATTTCGGTTTGTAGTGGATCAGAGGATGGTTTTTATCTCGTGACCAGAAACAGTAATGCAGTGCCCCCTCAGTTATAAGTCGATTAAATATGAACCCACTTGACTCTAGATATTACCATACGACCTAGTTGTATCAGTTTTACTGTATACATCAAGTTAGCTGACTAGGGGGCACAACCTTGTAGCAGTATATACCCAGCAATACTTGCATGCAGTGGATATGAGATGATGAAGATATATAAATGAGTCACTGACAAGTCACTGAGAACACACCTTGACCAACCTGAGTAGTAAGGTAATAATGTAACCACTCCATCCATGGGTACCGGTAATCTATCCTGACAATGCAACATCCAATATATTCCAATATCATGTTACATTTACTCTCCGGTGATCAAACATGGCAATGGACAATTCCCCATTTATTTCATTTATGGATACATCCTTCCCACTATGCCACATTTGATTGCCGGACCGCCCCTGGTGGCCCTGGTGCCCCAGGTCTTGAAGCAAAGCTCTCATCAGTTTGGCGACGGAAGTTCTATTTGCACTCGCTGTCTTGAACTTAGTTGGAACACCACGGGGGGTCCAGCGAAGTTCGTGCTGAAGAGATGAATGACATGTATGGGGTTACTATATTTCGACCTTCAAAACCTGAGAATGATGATCACTGTTGGACATGTTTTGAGTTTTTGTAGAAGTTTTGACCACATGTTCATACATTTTCTCCTTGAGACATCTTGAGACATCTTGAGACACCCATCCAAACACCAAGGGTTTCGGCCTCCTTTGAGGCCGCCACCAGCAGGAGGTCGACAAGAATTGGCGAGGCTTTCAGGTGTGCCGCAGGGCCAGATCTACTTGGAACAGCGCCTCGGTGACCAGCAGCCGCGGTGACCAGCAGCAACGGCTGGTGGAAAAGCAACGGCAAGGTATCGCTGTTTGGAGATGAGAAGAGTCCCAAAAAATGGAAAAGAAATGTGAATACGAAACATCAAAATCAACATTTTGAAGGTCCATTCAGTCCATTGGTACTCCATTTTTGAACCTTAGCCACATTGATATTTGAAAAAATGGGATATGGAATGGTGGTTGGGTACCAATTGATGGATCGATGGTTCAGACTGAAAAGGCCAAAAATTGCAGTCGCACATAATAAAGCCTTCATTTGTTGGGATACCTGATTTTGATATATTTTGATTGCAGAAAAATGCAAATTTGGTTTTTGGATTCCTGTCCAGTTTGGGGTTTGAGAGCAGCAATATACACATCAACAACAAGCCGACGAGATTTGGCAATCTATCCGGCACTCTGGCAAGCAAATACTGCTTGCTAAGATATCCCCATAATTCCCCATATATCTCCCATGTGTATAGACCATTTACTTTGAATTCACGACTTGACAGAACGGTAGAACACAACGTCCTGCTATGCTCGCAACGGGGTGGATCTAGCGACACGAATGGGTAGATGGAGCAAAGACACGTCTACAAGGTGATGCCCCACTTCGTTAGCTAAGTTGGTTCGCAAGTAGCTGAACGAGGATTTATGGTATAATCATACTAATTTATCTTGTGTTATGTATGTATAATTGGTAAGTATGGATATTATGATGGATGTTACTGGGATGTACATTATACCATGTCATATGGTATGTATAGATTAAATTACATTAATTATTATATATATAGAATGGATGTTAATGGGGTTTAGCCAACTTGCAACTGGGCTACCACCTTCTAGGTATCGACATGAAACTCACAAAAAAGGCTCGATGCTTTGGGGCGGTTGGAATTCCAGTTCGAATTTCAGTGATACCATCTGGTTATGACTAACATAGCCATGGAAAATCCCAACCATAAATGGAGGTTTCTAGCTGAGAAAATCATCTATTTCTATGGGCCATTGTCCATGGCTATGTTGAATAATCAGAGGGTAATAATATACAATGTATGGAATTCCTTCTATCGAATTTCACTTATAACTGATATGAACTGGAATATTCACTGTGAATATCCCCCTTCTATTTGGATTTTCTTTCTTCAAGGGGATATTCACTGATTCACTGTGGATTCCCCAAAAAAAACTAACCGACCCAAACCGCGAGGTCATTGACCTATGATAGGTCGACTTCGCAAATGGTCGGAAGAGGTAGCACCCCTCAGAAACCCATATGCTCTATGTATGGTATATTTACCTACATTTGGCTGATATTGTTCGGGCAAATGTTGGTAAACATTCCATACATTGAGCATATGGGAAAAGCTGTTGAATAGTGATGGTTCATTTTGCTCCGAAAATCCAGCAAATTGTGTCAGCGTATGGGTCAAAATGATCGTTCTCACCCTTCTTTAGGACCAATTTTTCGCAGTGTTCAAAACGCCCACGTTGGTTCATATCAAAAATGAATTATATGGGATTATCATATATTATGATACCCAATAATTAAAGTACATTAAACCTTATTAAACGATCCATTAGAGTATATTGAACCTAATACCCATCAATGGATGATAATACCCTTAGTATATTAAACCTATACCCATTAATGGATGATAATCCCTTAGTATATTAAACCTATACCCATTAATGGATGATAATCCCTTACTATATTTAACCTAATACCCGTTAATGGATGGGAATACCCTTAGTATATTAAACCTATACCCATTAATGGATGATAATCCCTTAGTATATTAAACCTAATACCCATTAATGGATGATAATACCCTTAGTATATTAAACCTAATACCCATTAATGGATGATAATACCCTTAGTATATTAAACCTAATACCCATTAATGGATGATAATACCCTTAGTATATTAAACCTAATACCCATTAATGGATGATAATACCCTTAGTATATTAAACCTAATACCCATTAATGGATGATAATACCCTTAGTATATTAAACCTAATACCCATTAATGGATGATAATACCCTTAGTATATTAAACCTAATACCCATTAATGGATGATAATACCCTTAGTATATTAAACCTAATACCCATTAATGGATGATAATACCCTTAGTATATTAAACCTAATACCCATTAATGGATGATAATACCCTTAGTATATTAAACCTAATACCCATTAATGGATAATAATACCCTTAGTATATTAAACCTAATACCCATTAATGGATGATAATCCCTTAGTATATTAAACCTATACCCATTAATGGATGATAATACCCTTAGTATATTAAACCTATACCCATTAATGGATGATAATACCCTTAGTATATTAAACCTAATACCCATTAGTGGATGATAATACCCTTATTCAACGATATAAATGGGGATTACCATCCATTGGAATCTCTTCGACTTTGCGAAAGGTTCATGCCGGTGAACCGAGCCTTTACGAAACCAACAGCGTTGCCGCAACCTGGTGCCTTGGGTGCCCTGGTCCTGGGTGGGTTGTTAAAATCTACGGTCCTATGGGATTTTGATGGAAGTTAAGGCTTTAACTATGGGTAACCCATAGTGTAATGTTTTTATTTTTTTATTTTATGGGATTTTAATCTACAACTATGGTTACCAAACTGTCTTCACATCGAAGTGTTAAAACTCTATGCTGGTTGGTGGTTTGGAACATGAATGGAGTATGACTTTCCCATCATATTGGGAATGTCATCATTCCAACTGACTTTCATATTTTTCAAGATGGTTATTGCACCACCAACCAGTGATGGAAGTTAGTTAGTGAGATTTTAATGGTGTTTCATTGGGTTTCTAATAGGGTTTCATTGGGTTTCTAATAAAATTTATCATGTTCTTATTTCCATGTATGGAATATTTACCAACATTTGCCCGAACAAAATCACCCAGTCATGTAGGTAAATATACCATACTTAGAGCATATGGGATGGGATTTTACCAACAATTGTGGACGATTTTTTCCATGGATAAGGTGAATTAACGTTTATGAAAATTACTATTGGATTTGAATTTACTATTTTTTTTTTGAATTTTCTCCCTACAACATTTTTTTGACTGGAATTATTCCACATCAACCTCTTGGCTGCGTGGAAACTGAAACAGATTTGATTCGGTACTTGGGAGACCCTGCAAGGTGTTCCCGCAGGGATGGTTTTTTTTGGTTGGTTTACATACCCTCTGGTTATGTCAAAATAGCTATTGAAAATGACCATTCATAGTGGATTTTCCCAGCTATAAAATGGTGATTTTCCAGTTCGCTATGTTAAATTACCAGAGGGTACATACAACCCCAAAAAAACTACTAGTTGGATACACGTATAAACATGTATAAAATAAGCGCTCGTGAAATTGGAGTTATGATGAGTTATGATAAAACGCTCGTGTTCACCAACTTCGCAGCTCATCGCCCACTGGGGTACCACGTGTTGTACTCCAAAATATGGGATGCTCTCGGATGCCGAAAAATCTGTCAGTCTGAAATGCGAGGCATTTCTAATCTCATTTGTAGATATTTCTAGTGGATCATAGTCAAACAAAAGCTATCATTCTTACCAACCCTTCAACCGACTCTACTCTTATTTCTTCCTCTTGTCTTTTTTGTTTAATCCCTATCTTCCGAAAAAGGCGGCGCCTAAGCCTCGCCAGGTGAAATGTTTGCGCTGAAGTTCAAGGCTCAGTTGCCTCTGGAGGAAGACTTTCTGAGGCAACTGGGCAATCCACTGCTTCTGCAACCCCAGGAGCTGAGGGTGAGAGGAAATGGACCGTTTTTGGTAATGGAGATGGGAGATCAAGCCGCAAGAAGACAGACACACCTATATATATACATGACATATACAGTGTGTATACTGTATAATTGTTCATGTACATATATACTGATTCATGTACTTATGCTTGCACGAAGATATGTATAAATATATATATATATATACACACTGTATATTACATACAAGACATGTATAACTTAAGTTAATCGTGCAATTTTACAAGCAACGCTTGTGTATTTTTTCGATTAGGATGGCCGTCCAAGAGGGCCTCCAAGTCATCCCATTTTGGGCTTTTGATTTGGCGACATCCAAAAATAAGCTGTTGTGTGTCCACGAAAAAAAAAATACAATAGCCAGAAATTGTGTATATTCCACGTGTTACTGCGATTTTCCAATTCTTATATGATATTTATATATATTTACAACGGAGAAAACCACCTTGTCAGTTAACCAACTTGTTGTGTTTGGGTCATTCCGAACGCGCATGTTTCCAAACATTTTTGGATAAAACAACACAATCCAATAAATCCAATGATGGAACATCACTTCACCATCCAACTGGCCGTGGATGGGGGCACATCCCATGTTTGGACCCATGACAAAGCCAGAAACTTACTTTTGCTGGATAATATGTCCATCCCCCTACATATCCAGATGCTTGCTAGTTAGTACCTCCTTTGATTACTTGTTAATATCCCCATATTAGTTTGTCACTTTGGGGCGCCCCAAAGGCCCATGGTTGATTAAATCTCTTCATGATGATGTTGCTCAATTTTGGGAAGCAATTTTTCACCAGGTTTCATGCAGCAATCCTGTGAAAATTGCAATGTCACCATGTTTAACCCACCAAAATCTCCATGCCCGTAGTGATTTCTGGCCCTTCTGGCCCTTCTGACCCAACCTTGTTTTTAGCCGGAGCTAGGACGAGGTGATCTTGGTCATGTTGGGCTCCCAACCAACGGCCAGTGCAGTGGAAGGCTATGCGCGGGCGAGTCTGAGTCTGCCCAAACTGGAATCTGCAAAGAGGTGCCAAAGTAGACTACGCTGGGTCGACTGGATGGGCGGGTGCTGATCCTTTCCGATTTCAATGGGAATATCGTGGAATATCTACTATACCAGCTAAGAATTGGTGATGTTTTGCGTATGTATTGGCAATGGAAGCTTCGAAGATGTGGTTTGTTGGATAGATTTGTGGTGAGTTTGTTGGTTCCAGGGAAAGTTTCAAGGATTTTGAAGGAATCCAAATGATGATCCGACGCCTGGGACGAAGTTTCTGATCAAATAGATAAAAAAAACCATCCCTGCTGTTTATTTGTCAATGTATGATAGATGATAATGTATGTATATTATATACACATTACACATACATGTATAATATATATATACACCATATATATAGAGTATATATATATACACCGTATATATAGTATTTTTATATAGTCTATATATATGTATAGTGTATATATATATAGTATATACTTAACATTACTTAACTCTCTTCTCTTGCTGGTGAGAAGCCAATGGTTTTCACCCGAAGTTTTGGGCTGGAGTCTCCCATACAGCCAAGTGCTGGCAACTAAACCATTGTACGATGGACTTTAATGGTAGTGGTTAGGTCGCACTTAGTATTTCGTGATTTATTGGCAGCTCTATCAAGTTATTTTTCTGGTAGTACTTAGTACTTCCTATCTTTTTTCGAAGACACTGTACCGGTACCCACTGGTAACCTAGAAAAAAGCAATGGAAAAGCACCCTTTTCAATCGTTTTCCATCATCTGCTGTACAAACAGGCCATTTTGCATACGGATAGCGATAGATCACATGAGGATAGTTTCCACCGTGGCGTCGTGAAGCGGGACTGCGAAACCGCCTTCATCTCCCAACACCACAGGGTGGCGTGGTCAAGTTGCGGAGGGTAAAAAACTTCCAGGAACCACCAAACAGCTCCTCAGCATCACATTTCCATGCACATAAATAAATAAATATATATATATATATAGACATGTAGGTAGATTCTTAGACAGTAACCCCAAAAAACAATTCACACTATATGTATATATATACACATCTTATTGGTGTGTACGCATCTTGTTTCGTGGTTTCAGGATGTTCCCTTGGGAATCGTCCGACATCCAGGAATTGGGATGACCATAGTTATCCATAGAATTCCATAGATGGGATAAGCTACTGATACCTGAGGGATTTTTGATAGGATTCAACCAAATTCACGGGATGCTCCAGTGATTTTTTGTCAAAAAGCATCGCAGTTGCTTCGGTCAGCAATTGGTTGTGCTCTGTGACATGGTTTGGTTCCGCCAAGCCCTGCCCTACCCACGATCTAATCCAGAGCAAGCTGGCTCTCCAGCTTCAGCTGCTGGTCTTTTCGCACACCGTTGGCCGGGTGTGGGGCACATGCTGGGTGCACCAGATCTACACCGTGTAGCGGCGTTAACTTGGTTGGATAAACCCTTTCGGCCAACACATCCCCACGTCGTTGTGGATGTATGACAGCGAGACGATGCGCTAAGGTGCTCGCTGGGGGTTTCCAGGTTTCCTGGCTGGCATGTTGTGAGGGGAGGCCACACTTTGCAGATTTATCAATTTTACGTTGCTGGCGCTGTTTTCTGTGCGAGAATGTGCCTGCCGCCCTGTTTTGTACTGTGGCCGCAGAGGCCTGTTGTTGGCTGTTGGGCGGTTCTCGGTTTGTTGTTTCTTTTACATGCGATGTTACCATGTGTCCGACCATCTTGGTTTCTTGCTGGCAGTTCGCACACCGTTGGCCGGGTGTGGGGCGCATGCTGGGTGTTCCATACTAGACCAGGTTCGCCTGGTCGCATCATATCCTCTGGCCAACGCGTCCTGCCTGACAGCGAGACGCTAAGGTGCTCGCTGGGGGTTTCCAGGTTTCCTGGCTGGCATGTTGTGAGGGGAGGCCACACTTTGCAGATTTGCGTGGTTGCGTTGCTTGTTTTCGCGAAAATGTACATGCGGTCTTGCTTTGTGCTGTGACTGCCTGGCTCAAGTCTTGCACGGCCGCTGATTCTTTTGGCTGCAAGAGATTACACAATTGTTTTTGTTGTCATGTGTATGAACAACGCTGGCAGCAATATGATAGCCACTGTATTTTAGAGGGATGACATCAATGATGCGGGATATGTTTTTCGCAGATGCAGCATCATAATGCACCATGCACTGTTGTGTGTAGTGCCTTTTTGTATCTCCTCGTTGGTTTGTAAATTGTCCATTGCAAGCCTCTCAGAATTGCTTTGATTTGCACCTTTTTGGTACCTTTAGAACCTAATGTAGGTCCGAAACAACATCACCAAAAAAAAAGGCAGACGTGAACCTATTTGGATATGCTCTGGAACACATTGGGGTTTCACGAAGCCGCTTGCCTTACCCACGAAGGAATTATAGAATGTTTTTTTTTAGTGGATAATTATGTGTGGTTTCAGGGAAAGCTTGAAGGAAAGCAAGTTTATTGCATGGCGAAGTTGATGGTGTCTTTTATTTATGGTGATATTATACATAATATATATATATAATTAATACATATATATATATATAATATATAAGAACCCTCAATTTGATGGAAATATAGTGGGAATATACTGCACAATATCAGCAACATTCAGCAACACTTTATGGGGGCAGATGGGCCCCAATCTATGTTTGTTTGTTGGGGACAATGATGGGATGGGCTTGGAATGGTAAACTGGATGGTCGCCAGGTATGTGCTGCTCGCTTGTGGCAAACCCCGGGTAGAGGCCTATGCAAAGCTTTACGCAGATATGGTGCGGTTGGCCAAGGAGAGCGAAGGCTGCTTGCCCTAACTAACAAGGAAACCTGCAGTTTTCTAACTTCATGGAAAATCATCCACACATTTTCAAAACATCTGTAAAATCATCGAACTAAGTGATGGATTTTCCCGCTGGCCATGAGTACCGCAGGGTAGATCTTAATAACCCCTGCAACGAATCCACCCACCAAGAGGGGATGTACCCAACAACAGATGCAGTATGAACCCATGAGCATCAACAGTGGCCAAGAAACTGGGAGAAACCTAATATCGAACAAAGCCAACAATCATTGACAGATTGGCCACAGCTTTGTCATAGCTTGGCCTGTGTCTTGTTTTAAAAGATGTTGAGGGATTTCTTTTAAGACACTACCTGCAATTACCTGCATAGGTGCAAAAAGTGGAGAATGATATCTCTAACCTGTTTGGTGATGGCTCACCCCCGATCATTTACATTTGACCCATCCCTATATGGCGGGCGAGCCATCCCTCCTCGGGCAGATGAAATGTCTGTCGTGATCAATGTCATCCAATAAGTATATGGAAGTACTGGTATATCAGTTATAGCCATATTCCCAAGTTCATATCCATTATATCCCCAAACTATTAAGTTATATCCATATTCCATATCCCATTGATATTCTACATATTCTAATGCCAAAGCCATGGTTCGCCCGAGGCACCACAACAGTTCTGGTACCCTTCACAGGGCAGGACGCAAAGGAAATGTTGGGACGTGCAGACATCACCATCACAAGGACAGCAGCTCCGAAAAAAATGCGACCATTCCACAGTTGAGCCAGGAAAATGGTGAGCTAACTTGAGAATATATATATATATTTCTATACATATAATTTAGTTATATTTAGTTATCATTTTATGTAATTATATATATATATGCACTTAGAGTTCATGGAATATTAATGGAAGGCTGGAATATGATGCGGAGAATGCTCGATGAATCATGACGAGGTCACGGGACGACGTCCAAACAAATGAGTCCAAGATACCATACGGTCATCAATTTACCGGGGATTGTCCTATTGAAACTGTCATTTATAAGTGATTGTCCCATTAAAACCCTCATTTACAGGGGATTTCCCAGCTAGCCACGTTGAGTACCGGATGGTAATAGCCATCTGTTTGATCCACCTTACATGGGCCGGTGTCTGGAGAATGAAGGACCGACGGGACTGAGAATGGATCCACCCCTCGCCTTTCTTTCAATGACGGGTAGCCTTGGGCAAAGCACTTGACGTTGATCCCACTTCGGAACTGAAGCAGTCGCAACCTTCAAGACTATTTGCAAGCCTGCCATTATGATTATAGTATATTATAGTTGTATGATTTGACAATCATTATGTTTTTTTTACTGACCATATCTACTAAGCATTTCTATTTTCAACATGTTTCAGCCAACGCAAGTGTTTTCCTGCACCCGATCATTTCAATCGTCAGGTGATCCCTTGGAAAATTCGAAATGGGGACGGTGATTCAACATTTCTGATGTTCACATTTCTATGATACCACCAATGTTGAACATATGATATATATATATTGATATTAATGATATTTCATGATACTTCAATCTGTCTGAACTTATGAAATTATATGAAATATCTGGACATGTGAACTATGAACATGACTTTTCATGATATTTCTGATGTTCACATTTCAATCTATGTCAAACATATTTTTTTGGGTATGATTATTAGCATAAGCAAACATAGTCATCTTTAGTTGGTACAGTAAAGACTATAGCAAACTATTTCATAATAGCCAGTTTGTTCATTACAACTCTTTTATAGCCAACCAATGATAGAAATGATTATTATGATTATAACAAACTATAGTGACTAACCAATGATAGGGACTAACCATATATAACTACAACTATTTATGATCACCCAATGACTTTCATGTTTTTTTTCCCCCGGGTGGCTCAATGACCAGCCGTTGAATGATCAGGAGCGGCGGCATGACGGCAGGCGAGCTCTTGGCCTTGAGGACCCGCAAGGAGGATCAGAAGTGCCTGGCTGAACGAAGGAATGAAGGGAAGCGGAAGTGACGGAAGCTACCGCCTTATGTATATATATATACACAATATATCATACTATACATATATACTATACACTATATACACATATTTATATACTATACAGTATACATATATATATATATATAAAGTCAGTAATAGTCAGTTATAGATAGTTGTAGTCAGTTATAGATAGTTATACGTAGTTAGTAGTTATTGATAATTTCGGATACTATGAGTTATGACTAATCTTTTGAAATGGGAATATCTACTAAGAAATGCTAAGAATTTTCCATTTTTGCCAGGTAGCCTCTGGTAAATTAACAGTTACCCTGAAAATCACAATTGTTTCGTGGACACTAATCTTCCAACCACTATCTGCCAGGGTCGAACTGTGAATTTACTGGAGGGTATGAGTTTTTTTTTAAAAAAATAATCATATGAGTTTGTAGATAGATGAGTTTGAGATAGTTTAAGTCAACGATTTTTTTGAGCCCTGAATTTGGCAGATGCTGAAGTTGAAAGCCCTGGAAAACTTCGATGGAGATGGGGCGGATACACTAGCCATTTAAAGGTTGAGGCAATTATATTGCACCAGTTTTTGCACTGGGGCACTAGGTGGTACTAGCCTGGAATGTTCCCTCGAACACCACGCTGATATTTCTTTGTTGCGACCCTGCCACGACCAAGCGATAAAGATCGATAAAGGCTGGTTAGTGACAGTTAGTGATGAGAAATCATGGAGCATTGCGTGCCAGGTTATTATTGGATTTGGTCATTTGGTTTCTTGAAAATAGATTATCCAGATCCATGGCATGGTCATACTGATAACAAGTGGTGCAGAAAGCGGAGCAAGTGGTGTTGGGACTATATCTTCGCCTACATCACAGTGTGTCAGCAATATCTTTCAGTGTCCAAAATTGTCTGATTTCGAGTATGTCTCCGGTAATCAGTCGCATGGGCTGGAAAATCCCGCAGAATAGTTCGATTTCATGAACTCTCAGCTATAAAACATTGAAAATTGGGGATTTCCCCATGGGGTCTTCTTTTTCAATGTCTATGTGGGATGAGTCCTGATGCCGTGGCTCTAGCCCACGGCATTGCTGGTAGTCTGCCTCTTTGTTCGGATATCTCCACTTTTTCTTGGATTGCAATGTCAAACACCAACTGGACCCATATTTGTGAAAATCATAAATCTGTGGGGAATACTCCGAGTCTATAAATATTTATCATTGATAATCAATCAAAGTAAGATTGCATGAGATAATCTAATATGATCTATATATCATCATTGATAATCAACCAAAGTAAGATTATAATATTTTTTTTATAATTGCTGTGCATGAGAGATTACTGTAAATGAACTCTGGGATTGAACATGTGTTTTGTATCCATAAATCTGGAATGACTAGACACGATTGACCCGATGCCTGGACGCCGAGGCAGATGCTGCTGCATGTGGAGTCGGTCGCTGATAAAAGGGCGACCAAGATCTTGGCGAAACATCTGCAGAAGAGCGAAAAGCAGGACCTTAAAAAACGACGAATCCGGGACGATGCTATGGGTTATACTGTAATGAAAATTGTATCTTATATAGATATTATAGATATCTCAATGTACAATTAAGATATTTTATGTATCCAATTAAGTTATTATCTCAATAACAACCCAATTGTTATTGTTATTGTTGCTACGATCGTTGTTACACATGTTCTGGGTCTGAAGTTTCATCGGTGGACCTTCGTGGATTTCAGGGCGACGACTAAGCATGACCTTCGGATACCTTCGGTATCCGGTCAGGCTGGATGTTATTTCTCTGTTTTCTACTGCCTGAAGCCTGAGATACCGGTAGTTTGAAATAATTGGGGTAACCATCGTGTCTTAGCTATCTTAGCTTCATAGATGTCCTGAAAAGCACTGGTTTTTCAGGGGAACATCAAACGAATAGGTGATGGAGCATGGTTTTCTCAACCAGCCAGCCCCTCTATGGATCAATCCATTGAGACAAATCTCCCGGAAGGAATCCTCATGAAACATGAAAAGTGTTGCCCATGGCATATCTATTGCGGCATTTGGATGCATTTGGGCCAACAGTCTGTCATTTGACCTCGAACCCAGAGCTTCCTTTTTTAAGCAGGCGTAGTTATGGCACCAAACAATGCACCCAAAATGTTCAAGCCATCCCATAGAAGATGGTCATCCATATCCCATTCAGGTGAGGGTGGCAATGCCTGAATCGCCATGTTGAGTTTGCAATATCCCATATCCATCCACATCCTGAATAGATTCATTCTTATTGCCTTGATCCCATATATTCGCCAAGAAAATCCAAACAAAGTCCCATAGATTTCCCTTCAAAGTCACCCTAAAACCGCGAAAAAACATGGCGCCAGGACGCCTTGGAGGCAGCTTTCGAGGAGTCGGCCCTGGAAGGCATGGTGCCCTGGGAGGCTGGCAATGCGCGCTACCTGATGAAAGCCGTGGGTGCGAAGGCGAGCCATTTTCATGGTGCCACCATCCATGACTGGCAATGGTAAACATGCCACCTATTGTCATTTTTAATGATTATATATATATAATTATATATATAATTATATATATACATGGTGTTGTCTGAAAAAAATGTGAATTTATGGTGAATATTGGACGATTATTAATGATTATTAATGATTATATACTCATGATTTATAAGTGAATATGATATGTGAGACAAATCAATGTTTATTAAGGGAATCTATGCCCCATATATCTATATTTGGGAATGATTTTTAATCATTATATAGCTATTCTGAACATATGAATTGTAGCCATATATGGCTGAAATAGTATAGACCATTGTTGGTTGATGGTTTCCTAAAAATGAGGATATCCCCAAGACCAAAGGCTTCCATACTAAGCCATACTAAAATGGTCATCTATGACTTGGATGATTAGAAAGTACCCCCATTTTAGGACACCTCCACATAATACATAGATATATATATATAATGTCTGGATAATGAAGATCTGAGGGGTTCCATAAATGGGGGGGGGTAGCCCAATAGCTGGATGGTAATGGACAATCCCACAGAAAAATGAATGATTTGCGGGATTTTGCGGGCGTCCCATTTTAGGGTTCAGCCCCGGTTTTCGAAATCGAAGTCGGATTCTGGGCTGTTGTTCAGAATTCGTTACATCGCTCGTCCCAGGTGGTCATTCCAAAGATCTTTGTGGCAGTTTTGAGGAACTCCTCTGCCCTGCCTTTCACTGTGGATTGGCCCCTCGGCCCATCTCGGCGATCACGCTGAAAACGCCAAGCGGATGCCTTGGATTTCTTGGTTTAGGTCATGCATAAGCAACATAGTGGACGCTTAAACATAGCTATTGAAAATGGACCATAGATAATTTTCCTCTTAACATGGTTATTTTCAATGGCTATGTTAAATTACCAGAGGGTAGGTTGGAACCAAAATTTGCAATAGAAGTAGTCCATACCCATCATGTGGCCTCGTATCTGAGGACGACGCTTCTGCGCCGGCGTGGCTTTGGATTAGATGAAATCGTAGCTTGGCATTGGAACTAAGTGGTTTATCATGTCTTAACTTAAACAAAAAATACACCGGCAAGAGACCCCAAACAGCGTGTGTGTGTGTGAGGATAATGTATGATGATGTTGAGGATGAGGATGAGGATGATGAGGAGGATCATGATGATGATGATGATGATGATGATGATAATGATGATCAACATATTCAGTCATCAAACAATTTTCTTTGGGTTGGTTCCAGCATAGTGAATTCACCAAGTACTGGGTTGATGATGACACCGGAGAATTGTGACCTGAAAAAAAAACATGAAATCACAACCATGCCGAACTAAGAATCTTCAATGGTTAACGTCAAGTTGGTTTTCAGGGCATGTTGATTGTCAAACATATCCTGAAGTTCGTTGAATGTCGCGAGCACTGCGTATAGATACACATGGCTTTCACTAATTTTCACTACGTATAGCTATATTATTGTATATGTCGCAGGAAATATGGTATGATGTGACATCATAGTATTATATGCCAAACTATTAGTGTGAATTAATTCACGACCTTATCTGCCGACGTCACCAGAGATGGCTGGTTACGTAAGCTTACCAGAGTGTAAGAGAAATGAAATTTCTCAGAGCTAAGGTAGCCCATAGAAATTGATGAAACGGATTATGATCCACATTTTGTAACTGATAACATGATGATAACAGATAAACATCGAACATTTACCTATCACACATGGTGATTTTCCAGTTCGCCATCTTCAATTTCCGGCTGAGGCCTTTGCAACAGCACCTCCCTCAGGCTGTGAGGCCTTGCGGAGATCGGGAAGAATGGCTAAGTGGTTTCAAAACGGTTCCTTGAGTGGTTACTTTAATTCTTTAATGGTTAAGTTGATGGGGTAATTCATGGTTAGTAGATGTTAGTAGTTTATTTTGTATGCGGTTGTTTTTTAATGACTTTTATGACTTATTTTGTCCAAAGACCTTGGGGAAAAGTCCCTAATCTTCGAGTTATACAATCAGATTTCACCACGGAACTCCCATCAAATGGGCTTCATCTCCCATGTTCGGACCCACATGGGGAGAGCATCAAAGGATGGTCAAACAAGATAACTAATGCGATGCTTGACCAATTATAACCTAACCATATAAATGGTAATGTTTAACAGCAATAATCTTTGTATAATGTGGTAAACCCAACACTAACCTAACATCTGCGATTGGTTTATAGAACCCAAAATTTGGTGATTTCGATTATCGTTGACCAGGGAGAGGTGTACAGATCAACTGTGGGACACCCATGGGGATAATCTACTTCTTGGAATTTACCGTAAGGATTCCCGTTTTAGGACATACCCTGTTTATCCCATGTAAAAACCACCATGGCGCAATGGCAATGTTACACCCCGGTCTAATGTGATCAGTCACGGCAAACATGTTTAAGCCATCTGCCTTGGTGAAATTCAGCCCCAACCCACCTGGAATTGCAGCTTGGGATATGGATTTTGTTTACACATTGTCCCTTGATATGAGATCACAATCATTCTTGGTTAAACCATGAAATCATGGATGCATGTTGAATTCATCATGTCCGTTGGTTCATATCCACATGTTTGCTGGTTTCTGGTAAATTCCCCATTTTGGGTGAAACTCATCAAATCTTCGCATACTTCGCAAGCGTTTTCGTTGCAGGCAGCTGTTTGCACACGCGAGTTTGATGACTTGCCTTTGCCAGAGACTGTGGCTAAAGGCCAGGGCACTGGATGAAAAACTGGCTTTGGTCGCCCTAATCTTGTAATCAAAAAGGCAGTTCAAATATGTTCAAATAATGAATGATAATGACGATCATTTGATCAATCATATCAAACAACTAATACTCAAACTTAAATTTGATCTGTTTGGGGATTGGATGGGTAATGATCATAGTGGTCTAGTCTTGGATTAGCGAGAAAAAGCTAGTGTTAGGACATACCCATGCAAGCGTCAAGGATGAGTATAGCCGTTGTGGCCAATGAACATTGGAAGGTTTGCCAACAACAAGTGAGGTGCAAAACTACAATCTTAGGAATATACACTTAGAGAGATGACCATCTAAATGTGTGTGTGTGTGTGTCAGGAGCAGGCAACGCAGCATCATGGATGAAGCACATGCTATATTATATTAACCTTTATTGTTATAATATATGCATATTTATATCTTATAGATACGTATATATATATATGTATACAGTCTATATATGTGTGTGTGTGTTGTGTATATATTCTATAGTTTATGATATATCATATATTTTATATTATATTTATTATATTATATATATATTATATATTATATATTATATATTATATATTATATATTATATATTATATATTATATATTAGTAATATATATATACATTATATAATATTATATATATTATTATATATTATGTATTATACATATTATAATATATGTTATCTATTATATGTATTATAATATATTACATATTATATATTATATATGATATATTATATATTATATATGATATATTATATATGATATATTATATATGATATATTATATATGATATATTATATATGATATATTATATATTATTAATAATATATATATAATATATATATATACGTATCATATATTTATATTATTAATATTATATATTGTTATATACCATTATATATTAGTATATATTATTATTGTTGTTATCTATATATCATTATATATATGTATGTATATGTATACATTATATATACGTATATATTATGTGTATATATATATATGATAGGTATATATATATGTATTTGTATCTGTATATTATACTGTACTATCTTACCTGGAACAATCATAGAAGTAGAATTTGAACATGACAATGTTCTCAGGAAAATGATGGTCTCATCCGATGTGCGCGGTGATGAAGTTTGGTTGAATCCTCGTCGATCACGACCTCATTGCGACGTCACTGGATGGGTACGGTAAGGGTTAAGTATATGTTTTTTAAGTAACTATCATTCTATCCAGGTGAACTATGATGTATAAAAACTATCTAAAAACTATGTTAAGATCTTTTAATTCACTATCCCCAAATAACCGAGCATTTTAGATCGCTTAGTGAATGATGAATCCAGCCATGTCACTTGTGTCCCAGGGAACTCATCGTGCCTCAGTGCCCTTCGCTATTTCAACGGTCCATCCCTGGTGCCTCGACCCAGAGGAAACTGACATCGAAATCGCGGCCGCTGATTTTTTTTTGGGGTATAATATTTGTCTCATTGTCATAGTTGATAGCTAAGCCATAGTTTATAGGACATTTTTTTGGGGTACAACATTTGGGTATGTTATGCTATGATTATCATAGTATTTGGATAGCTGAGCCACTGTTTATATGGTTATATCTGATTATATCTGATTATAGCCAAATCATCTGCCAAATCTACCCAAAAATGGCGATTCAGCGATCAGTCTAAAGGGACGAAGTTGCGGGGTCTGGTAAGCACCAGGTCAACGACACCCTGATGTTATTTTGATCTGTGCCAACAAAAAAATTGCATGCAAAACTAGATTCTTCAAGATTATACACCAGAAAATTTTGTGGCAAAAAAAAACATGTTTTTCTCATGTTTCTCGTCTTTCGCAATGTCTCGTGCTGCTAGCAGCATATCGTCATCGTCCCCATCGGGTCATTGCAGCCGAGACTAGCATCCACCTTCATGCAGATGCTGTTGCCAATCGAACCTCGGATGCGGCGGCGCGAAAACCATCATGAAAAGAATAGGTCAATCGTAAATGACACCAAATTACCGGCGATATTCTGATGCTATGGATTTTTGGTGAAATTACCGCCGTTAAATTACCCTTGAATTCACACATGGGTAACTTCTCAGATGTTTACCTATTCAGGCCAGCTAGCCATGAGGGTCAGAAAAATTCAGGTCGCTCCAGCGGCATGATCTGGGCATATCTGGGCAAAGGTCATAAGTCATAGCCGATCCTGTCGTTCGATGTGGTTCGATGTGGTTTGTGTTTTCGATTTCGGTTTTATAATGTCCCTACCTAGTATGATAGCTAATTGACATCAGTTGACCTATAGTACTTTTCAGTGGGGTTGAAACAACCAGCCAGATCATTGTGCATTGTTCTCACCAGTCATTCCCAGATCTTCGAGAAAAAATGTCTCTTACCCTGAAGGTCCATGCCCGAGAAGTTCATAGTACTGGAACAGACTGTTCACTCTGGGCGTACACCAGTTTTGTGATTCTTCGCAAAGACCCCGAACACAAAAGTGCCCCGAATTTAAGAACGTCCATGGGAGAGTCTGGGAATACGCACTTCGGCTGTCGGGATAGCTTGCATTTTCCTTGTGACGAGAAACACAGTGTATTGCCATCCGCAACAACGATCTGCGGTCCAGGTTAACAGGTTTAAGTCAAGACAGGGACACCTAAAACCATGCCATCAAAATGGTCTAGAGAAGCCGGGCTGCTCTCAACAATAGTCCAAGCAAGTTCGGCTTGTACACATGGTGTATCTTGATTTATATGTGCCATGGTCAAAACATTGGTAAATCTATTGTAAATCACCCGTACTGGGTCATCAATCCAATGTAAGGATTCCCATTGGATTTATGACCATGCTCTGCCATGTTTACACCATGGTATATATGAATTTATTATCAACCGGTCATCAATACATGCGTCATCCCGTTATCCCCAAAAAATGTCAGGGAAAATCAACCCTTTGGTTGTACCAAAAGTATGCCATTTTACCAGATGCATCCCAATACCCCAGCGCGTAGGTTTTCAACATGTAACAGCCATATTATGAGTTTGGTATACATGGGATATGGATATGGTATATTACCCAAATGCTCCATGTATGTAATATTTACCAACATTTACCCTAAAAATCACCCAGTGTTGTAGGTAAATATACCATACATGGAGCATATGGGAATTATATACCCATTTAATTAGTATATGAATCATTAACCAGTCGCTGACTGTGATGCATCCCAAAGTAAGCCTTTTCTTTCGGGTTTGTTTCACCATTGATCTCATCCATTTCCGGTTTCTTCCATAGCAACTGCAATGGTCTCAGAGCATTGTAGGAATGGGTACATAGCAGAAGTGATTAGCCACCACAGCAGAATGTATGACTCTATGATTGGCGAAACATGGCCGGTTGGGTATCACTGTTTCAGTATGCTTGCAGAATGTGGCAGAGAAGTGCTCATGTTTCATCACATGACCTAGAACAATGTGCTGTTGATTATCTCAGTTGTATACCCTTTACCAGCAAATGTCCACGCTTTCCAGTGGAATCTGAATACTTTGCAGTGAGCCAACCCATTTTCCACCAGGGTTGTGAGAGATTTGGGCAAATAAACCCTTTTAAGGTCATGCCAAGGTAGTTTTTAAATGTGTTGATTCCCATCAAACTTTAGTCAATATCCATGAGCCAACAAACCTTAGTGAACCATATTTATAGTATGTTGTCGTGATACAGTCCGTATAACCAAATAACTATATAGTAGTTACAATATCCAGAAAGCATAGTTCATCTAGTGACCACCTGAGCAAAGCCGAGGTCGGGGGCGATTGAAGAACGGTCACATGTGCAACGGGGCCTCCTTCATGGTACGAAAACGGCCCGAACGCGTGGGAGTCTGGACGCCCAGGATGCGCAAAAATCATGGTTTTTGGCCCAATTTATGGCATGAATGTGGATAAATATGGATTTAACCCACAAACATGGTGGTGTTTTCATGATGATGGTAGAATGGATAATCTGGATAAACTATTAAGATTTGCATAGATATGGGGCATTATATGATTTAAATTGATTTAAGTTAAGCACCAAATATTTAGGGTATTAAATAGCAAGGTATTATTACTGGAGGTTAAAAAATTGAGTTTTTTTGTTATTTGGAATGCTGGGAACGAAATGGAAATACCCTTGGGTGTCATCAGCCACGTGGCCGGCTCGAAAATCCCCGTGGCGCCATCGAGGTTGATGTCTACAAAAATGTTCCAGCTAGCCATGCTTGATTACCGGAGGGTAAATAGGGTTTTAACGGTTTTAAGCAACAAACACGGTGGTTGTAATGGGGTATCATGGGGTATAATCTGGATAAACAACCAACAAATAGAAAATGATAGAACTTGCTTGGTTATATATATAGACCATTATAGAATTGAATTAACAGCTGGCTTAATACCTTTTGGTTCGTTGAATCCTGATCTGGATGAATTATGTTGCGAACTCCAGGGACATCGAAATGATGGGAATTGAACTGGGGTAACTATCCTCAGCCGCCCTTTTCAGGTTGGTGGATTATTACATGTTCTTTACCAGATAACTGCATACACAACCAACAAATAAATGCGGATATCATGGGTATAACGAAGCTGGCTGGTGCTGGTGAGGGGCAAGTGCAGGGGACACGACTCTTAAAATGGTTTTAAGCTATTTTAAACATGGAAATTCAGGCATCAAGCAACAACAAACTGGGATATAGTGGGTACTATAGTGTAAGTCTAAGTTGTTTACAACCATATTACAACCCAATTCCACGTGGGATACCTGATGAATTGACTGTCCCAGGTTGTCAAGCTGACACTGGCTACATCTTAGGGCGGTGGGTTTCAGCTTTTCATCGCTTATCACATGCTGTAGGTGTAGAGGCTCTAATTCTTCTTGCTTCTATCACAATTTTCTCAGATAAACTCCCCAGAAGTACCCACCTGAATCTCAGCATGTGAAAATCCAAGAATTATGTTTACTGGCTTGCTCCAAAAAGGTATTTTTTTTGCCACCAGGATGTGAACATTGGGTGTTTTCTCTACCTCATTCTGCCTCTGTCTGTTTTGGAATCCGGGCCGTTGCAAGGAATCCTTTTAATACTTCCGGCAAGTGGGAGTTTTGGCAAATCTTCATCGAACAATCTATAGATGATTAGTTTCCATTTGGTGGTTTCCATAGGGGGTATCTAAAAATGGTTGGTTTATAACGGAAAATCCCATCTAGAGATGGATGATGACTGGGGGTAGCCCCATGACGAAACGGAAACCCCCATGTTTCAAATGGGATTTTGCAGTGGAAATACAACAATCTCACAGCGATGTCAGGGTAAATGATTCAATTATTGCTGGCATGGAGGGAATCCTCCCCAAATGATCTTATTTCACGTATTTGAGGTCGGTGACAAAAAACAGAAGCGAGATTTACCAACCATTTTCTACGTAAGCTTCTATTCTGAGGTACAGTAGATGGTTGCGAAATGTTGGGAAACGGTTTGTACCCCTTTCATCAAAGGAGTTTAGTTCAAAAACATCCGAGTTACGGACGAATGTTCAGGGGCAGATTTGTCACCATGGCAAGAACATAGTGAGCAAGAGCAGTGCGCGTGTGGAAGCAGCACAGAAGAGTAACACTTCAGAAGCGTTTGAGTTTACGGGTGAAAACACCAGGGCACGAAAGGGTGTTTTTTCGGGTATTGTGGCTCTTGGGGTCGCAGAAGTATCCACGGTTTCGGGCCTTGATCTGGCAAAGTTGTGGACAAAAAGTGCAAAGGACTGTAGCGAGAGTTCATTTCAGAAAAAAAACGTAAAAAACTGAGGGCCGCGGAGCACTCTTGGAAGAGGAGGTCGGAAAAGCGCACGAGATTGTAGCGGTAGCTCGGTTTCAGTCAAAAACCGTAAAAATTGCATGTTCAGAGTGTGGAATCGTCCCCATTGTCAGCGCTGTGCGGATGTTGGTGGATTTGGTGCGACGCTCCGGTTGTGACAAATGCAGCAAATGCATTGGCACGGCTGCGCGCAGAAAAGCGTGAGTGATGCTGCGACGCTCTTGCTATGCGGGATTGCAGCTGGAGGTTGCAAAACGCATCGTGCTGGCTGCGCGAAGAGAAGAACTGGGTTGCAGACGCTCCAGAAGAGCTAGCCCATGGGAGGCAGCTCAGAGCAGAAGCGAGCGAGAGAAGAACTAGCCCAGATAAGAGGCTGCTCAGCGAATTCATTGACTCATTGATTCCTTGATTCGCAGATTCATTGATTCATTGGTTCACAGAATCCTTGATACATTCATCGACTCGCTGACTCGATCATTAATTGATTCATTGGTTCCTGGGTTCACTGAATCATCGATTCACTGCTTCACTGGTTCACTGCATGATTCACTGGTTCATTGATTCGTTGGCTCATTGGCTCACTAATTCGCCCATTCATTGATGCATGGGTCAATGATTCACAGACATTGATTCGTTGGTTTTTTGATTCATTGAGTCATTGACTCATCAGTTCACATGTTCATTGAGCGTAGGAAGTTTAGAAGTCAAACGTCCGACCTATGGACAGATGTAGCAACAGTGGTGAGGGCAGTCAGAGAAGAGAAAGAGCCAGAAGAAAGAAGATCCAAGTGCCGAAAATGTAGAAACGGCGCGAAACACTGTGTGTTTCCAATTTTGGTGGCTCCGGAGGGTCGAAAAGTAGGCTCGCTAAAGCGGCAGGTGCGGAGCCATGTGGCCGGGTGAGAGATAAAAAATTGCATGCTGTTGTGGTGGGAAGCATGGGAAGCACACTTGGAAGTGAAAAAGCTTAAAGCACCTCATGTCCGGAGCAGTTTGGCAGCTGAGATGTCGAAAAGATGTCTGCAGTTGTGGCGCGAAGAGATTTCGAAGTCAAAATTTTTCAAACACCTCGGATTCGGACCACTTTTGGAAATTTCAATGATCAAAAAGTGCACACGGCTGTGGGCGCGAAGGGCAATCGGAAGCCAAAATGTTATTAAAAACACCTCAGCTTCGGATCACTTGTGGAAGTTGAGAGGTTGAAAAAGTGCACGCTGCTGTTGGCGCAAAGCACATTTCAAGTGAAAATTGTAAATGCACCACGTTCGGACCATTTTGGCGTTCAAGCGTCGTTTTTCGTGGCAGGCGCAATGGATTCTGCACCTACCCAAAAGTGATCAAAGCGTGAGGGTTTTGTAGCAGTTTCAAAAACGATGGCAGGCACGGGACGTTTGCAGAGTATGCATTTCGCGTGGCAGGCGCAGTACAAGAGATATCTTTATCAGAGATGCTCGGAGGTCAGGGCGCTGCTTTCCTGAGAGGGTGAAGGGGTTGCATTTTTGAGCATCAGATCTTGAGCTTTGCTAAGATGATTTTGCGTGACAGCTGCAGCTTGGCACTGCACTTTCGATTTCTGAAGAAAGTATCCTAGAATTGCTTCGTTTTTGATGTTGTCACCGTAATTCTTTTTGGACGAAGTCTTGAAGAAATACTTCATTTTCGTCGTCGTCAAGTTCAAAAATTGAGGAAGTCTCGCAGAGTTGCTTTGTTTTTGATGTTGTCCTGACAAGTTACAAAGCTGAGCAAGTCTCACAGAATGGTTTCGTCTCAATATTGGGGAGGTGTCGCACAATCGGTCCTTTTCAGCTCGATACATGGATGATATAGGGATAGATAGAGGAAGAGACAGAGATAGAGAGGGAGGTAGAGATTGAGATTGACATGGAATTGCTTCGTTGCAGTCCGATAGTTGGATAGATAGATAGATAGACAGATAGATAGATAGACAGACAGATAGGTAGATAGACAGGTAGACAGATAGATAGATCGGTGGATAGACAATTGGTCAGACAGTCAGATAGTCAGATAGTTAGATAGATAGTCACGAGTTGAGTAATTAATTGCTTTGTTGCATTGGCGCCAGCCTTTGTGTGACTTTGCAGTCCCAGCCTTTTGAGTTTGCAACCACAGACTTGCGACTTTGCAGCCATAGACTTCTGACTTTGCAATCACAGGCTCAGTCTTGCAGCCTTGCTTCCAACCAAATTCTTGGCTAAATTAAAAACGGTTTCTCAAATGATCAATTTCTTTCTTAAAATCCATTTAAAACCATCACTTTGAGAAGGTGCCAGAGGGTACCCCTCATGAGCCCATGTCCCCCCGAATTAATAGACAGGGTTGCTCCTAACTAACCGAGCCCCTTGGCCCCTTTAGATTTCTTTTCGGCTCAAAAAAACAATTTAAAGTAGATTGATATCAGTTGAAATCCTTACTAATCTTTTGACTTTTTCTAGGTTTCAACAAAAAATCAATTGAAAATAGTTTGATATCCAGTGAAACCCTTACTAGTCTTTAGATTTCTTTCAGGCTTAAAGGAAAATCAATTGAAAGTAGAATTACATCATTGAACATTGATCTCTTGTGACTTCAACTTACGAGGTCGGTTATTTACGGGGAACACCTTAGCAGAACCTTCTCCCTAGGTACTTACCTTCTGGGGCGGGGTTTTTAATCCTAACTTGACATTAGATAGATAGACAGATAAATAGATAGATAGACGGATAGATAGATTGATTGATATATATATATAGCTAGATAGCTAGATAACTAGATAGCTAGATAGCCAGATAGCTAGATAGCTAGATAGCTAGATAGCTAGATAGCTAGATAGCTAGATAGCTAGATAGCTAGATAGCTAGATAGCTAGATAGCTAGATAGATAGATAGATAGATAGCAAGATAGAAAGATAGAACGATACAAAGATACAAAGATACAAACAAAGATACAAACAAAGATAGATACAAAGATGAAAATATTAAAACATGAAAAGATGAAAATATGAAAAAATGAAAAAACAAATAGGCAGACAAACAGGCAGATAGTTAGATAGATAGTGAGAGAGATAGACAAATAGACAGATAGACAGGTAGACAGGTAGACAGGTAGACCGGTAGACAGAGAGACAGATAGACAGATAGATAGAAAGATAAACAGTTGGACAGGTGGACAGATGGGCAGACAGACAGACAGACAGACAGATAAATAGATAACTCAGAGCTTCAACCACCTTTCCTTCTGTCGTTCGCTCTGGCATCCATGAATCACCACACTCACCTCTCCTATAGGTGTCCTTTCTTTGAAATTTCCGCACGGTCTTGTGCAGTCCTACTGGTAATCGATTCACTGGCTCATGGGTTGACTGAATCACTGTTTCATTGATTCATTGGTTCATGGCTAATAAATTCTATATATTCATTTATTCATTGAACCCATTCATTCATTGATTATATAGTTATCTCATGGATTCATCATCGATTCATTAATCCATTGATTCGTTGGTTCCTTCAGTCAGTTTCGCATGGTTTCTTTCATGTCGTTTCATCTGCATTTGACTCTCCAGCCTCTCATTCGTTGATGCACCTTCTGCGTCAAAAGCTTCCTATAACTGGTTTTTACTTTTTTCGAAGCTTGCGTCCCGGCACGGCCGGGCACCACCTAGTAAACTAAAAATCATGTCCTAAGTCCCACCCCAAATCACAAACCATGTCCTAATCTATGTATACCAAATATGTGTCCAACCTTCTTACAACCATTTAGCATCATCGGCCTGAGGCGTTCTTCTTCAACATCGACTCTGCAGCACAAGCAGTTACCTCTTCTTGTGGTGGAAGAATCATGACGCTTGACCCACGATTTATTCTGACCTGATCCCCATCATAGAGAAAATTGTGGAATCGATATGAGTTCACCAGAAGGAATATGGAGTCAACCAAAGTGGACAGCGGATTTCGGCATGTTTGAAAATTATGGTTTATGCTTTATGTAAGCATGAAAACTGAGAATTTCACCAATGGATCATGACGAGAATGGGTATACTGATGTGTCTGAAAAATTGTGTACCCTCTAATTTTTGATGGAAAACCATGTTTTAAACCGAATTCTCAACCAAACCCAAATTTTCAGCCAGAAACAATCATGATAACTACCTGGGAAATCGCCATTTTCCATATACAGATCAGAACTTAATCTGGGCATCATGTGAAACAAAAGTAAAAATCATGTTTTTCCATTGCCAGGTTCAATCGCGAAGGGTATCCATTCGGTTTCCCAAGAATTATTTTGGGAACCACATTTTCTTTGGTAAATTTCAACATTTTGACGCAAGGAATTGCGGCGATTTCGTCGTTCCTCATATATTTTGACAAATATATATATATAATTTATATTTCCTTTTCTTTTTATATATATATAAAAGAAATTAAATAATATCATATATATATATATACATTTATATATATACGTATTTAAAAAAATATTTATATAAATATTTATGTATTTTTGATATAAATATTTATTTATATAAATATTTTTTAAAAAATAAATATTTACATAAATATTTATTTAAATACTTATATTATATAAGTATTGATATAAATATTTATATAAATATTTATATAAATATTTATTCAAAATACCAGTAGTACCGCACAAGGCGGTGGCGGAAGTTTCAAAAATAGGAAACCTATAGGAGAGATTGGTTGTTGTGAATCAAGGATGGCAGAGCGAATCCACTGATGGACCGAAAGGTGCTTGAGGTCTCCTCTCTTTCTCTCTCTTGCTCTGACTATCTACCTACCTACCTGTCTATCTTCTATGTATCTATCGATCTATCTATCTATCTATCTCTCTCTCTCTTTCATCTCATTACCTATCTATCTATATATCTATCTGTCTGTCTGTCTATCTATCTCTCTCTCTCTCTCCCTTTCATCTGACTATCTGTCCTGTCCAGCTGTCTACCAGTCTATCTGTCTATCTATCTATCTATCTGTCTATCTGTCTACCTCTCTATCTGTGGTGCAATGTCATTCGGTGTAATGCAGTGTAGTGTAATGTAGTGTAGTGTAGTGGAGTGTAGTGTAGTGTAGTGTAATGTTGCGTAGTGTAGTGTAATTTAGTGTAGTGGAGTGTAGTGGAGTGTAGTTTTGTAGGTGTAGTTGTCATGTAATGTAATGTAGTGAAGTGTAGTGGAAGGTAGTGTAGTGTAGTGTAATGTAGTGTAGTGGAGTGTAGTGTAGTGTAATGTAGTGTAGTGTACTGTAATTTAGTGGAGTGTAGTTGTGTAGTTGTGTAGTTTTAGTTGTAGTGTTGTGGAGTGTAGTGTAATGTAGTGTAGTGGAGTGTAGTTTAGTGTAGTGTAATTTAGTGTAGTGGAGCGTAGTGGAATGTAGTTGTGTCGTTGTGTAGTTGTATTTTTTAGTGTAGTGGAGTGTAGTGTGGTGTACTGTAGTGAAGTGTAGTGGAAGGTAGTGTAGTGTAGTGTATTGTAGTGTGGTGTAGTGTGATGTAGTGTAGTGGAGTGTAGTGGGGTGTAGTTGTAGTTGTAGTTGTAGTGTAGTGGAGTGGAGTGTAGTGTGGTGAAGTGTGGTGGAAGGTAGTGTAGTGTAGTGTAATGTAGTGTGATGTAGTGTAGTGTAGCGGAGTGTAGTGTAGCGGAGTGTAGTGTAATATAGTGAAGCAAAGCGACATTTGAACCTCTAAAAGCGGTCCGAACCCCTGGTGTTTTTAACATTTTGATTTCGAAATGTATTTCGCGCCACAACGGCGTGCACTTTTTCGACATCTGAACTTCTAAAAGTGGTCCGAACATGGTGTGTTTTGTATATTTTAAGTTGGAAATGTATTTTGTACTATAACGACGTGTATTTTTTCGACATCTTAATTTTTAAAAGTAGTGCGGTACTGGTGTGCTTTGTATATTTTGATTTGGAAATGTGTTTTGCGCCACAACGGCGTATACTTTTTTCGATATTTTAGCATCTAAAAGTGGTCCGGAGCTGGTGTGTTTTGTACATATTGACTTGGAAATATACTTCGTACTACAACGGCGTACACTTTTTTGACATTTTATATAATTACTAAAAGTGGTCCGGAACTGGTGGGTTTTGTATATTTCGACATGGAAATGTGCTTCGCGCCATAATAGTGTGGATTTTTTCGACATCTTAACTTCCAAAAGTGATCCGAGAATGGTGTGCTTTATACATTTTAACTTTTAAATGTACTTCGCACCACAACGACGTGCACTTTTTTATCTCTTATCTGGCCAGTCGCTCCGCACCCGGCGCTTTAGCGAGCTTACTTTTCGATCCTCCGGAGCCACAAATTTTTGGAAAAACGCAATAAATCGATTTTCCTACCTTTTCGACGCATCTACATCTTCTTTTTTCTGACTTTTTCTCTTCTGATCTTTTTTCTTCTAATCTTTCTCTTTTCTCTGCCTTTGCCCTGCTTTGCTTTTCATCTGTCTCATCTGTCCCATCTGTCCATATTGTCGGACGTTTGACTCCTAAATTTCCTTCGATAACATCCGAACCGCCAAAAGTGGCGCGAACATGCAATGTTTTGTATATTTTAACTTGGAAATGTATTTTACACCACGGCGGCGCGTACTTTTGCAACATTTAAACTTCCAAGTGGTCCGGAGCTGGCGTATTTTGTGCATATTGACTTGGAAATGTACTTCGCGCCACAATGGCGTGTACTTTTTCGACGTCTTAACTTCCAGAAGTGGTCCGGAGGTGGTGTGTTTTGTATATTTTGATTCTAAAATGTGCTTCGTGCCATAACAGCGTGGACTTTTTCGACATCTGAACTTCCAAAAGTGGTCCGAGAATGGTGTGTTTTGTATATTTTGATTTCAAAATGTGTTTCGCGCCACAACGGCGTGCAAATTTTCATCTCTCATCTGGCCAGCTGATTCCGCACCCGCCGCTTTAGCGAGCCTACTTTTCGACCCTCCGGAGCCACAAATCATTGGAAAAACACACTGTTTCGCGACTTTCCTACCTTTTCGACGTATCTACATCTTCTTTCTTCTGACTCTTTCTCTTCTGATCTTCTCTCTTCTAATCTTTCTCTTCTCTCTGCCTCTGCCCTGCTCTGCTTTTCATCTGTTCCATCTGTTCATATTGTCGGACGTTTGACTTCTAAATTTCCTTCGATAACATCCGAACCGCCAAATGTGGCGCGAACATGCAGTGTTTTGTACATTTTAACTTGGAAATGTTCTTCGCGCCACAACGGCGTGTACTTTTTTCGACATCTTAACTTCCAAAAGTGGTCCGGAGCTGATGTGTTTTGTACATTTTGACATGGAAATGTGCCCACGCTTTTTCGACGTCTTAACTTCCAAAAGTGGTCCGAGAATGGTGTGTTTTATACATTTTGACTTCAAAATGTGTTTCGCGCCACAACGGCGTACAAATTTTCATCTCTCATCTGGCCAGCTGATTCCGCACCCGCCGCTTTAGCGAGCCTACTTTTCGACCCTCCGGAGCCACAAATCATTGGAAAAACACACTGTTTCGCGACTTTCCTACCTTTTCGACGCATTTGCATCTTCTTTCTTCTGACTCTTTCTCTTCTGATCTTCTCTCTTCTAATCTTTCTCTTCTCTCTGCCTCTGCCCTGCTCTGCTTTTCATCTGTCCCATCTGTCCATATTGTCGGACGTTTGACTTCTAAATTTCCTTCGATAACATCCGAACCGCCAAAAGTGGCGCGAACATGCAGTGTTTTGTACATTTTGACTTGGAAATGTGCTTCGCGCCACGGCGGCGCGTACTTTTTCAACATCCGAACCTCCAAAAGCGGCGCGAACATGTGTGTGTTTTTTTTTTTGACTTGGAAATGTGTTTCGCGCCACAACGACGTGTACTTTTTTCGACATCATAACTTCCAAAAGTGGTCCGGAGCTGGTGTGTTTTGTACATGTTGACTTGGAAATGTGCTTTGCGCCACAACGGCATACACTTTTTCGATATCTCAACTTCCAAAAGTGGTCCGAGAATGGTGTTTTTTGTATATTTTGACTTCAAAATGTGCTTCGCGCCACAACGGCGTGCACTTTTTCGACATCTTAACTTCCAAAAGTGGTCCGAGAATGGTGTGTTTTGTATATTTTGACTCCAAAATGTGCTTCGCGCCACAACGACGTGCACTTTTTCGACATTTCAACTTCCAAAAGTGGTCCGAGAATGGTGTGTTTTGTACATTTTGATTTCAAAATGTGCTTTGCGCCACAACGGCGTGCAAATTTTCATCTCTCATCTGGCCAGCTGATTCCGCACCCGCCGCTTTAGCGAGCCTACTTTTCGACCCTCCGGAGCCACAAATCATTGGAAAAACACATTGTTTCGCGACATTCCTATCTGTTCACGCATCTGCATCTTCTTTCTTCTGACTCTTTCTCTTCTGATCTTCTCTCTTCTAATCTTTCTCTTCTCTCTACCTCTGCCCTGCTCTGCTTTTCATCTATCTATATTGTCGGAAATTTGACTTTAAATTTCCTTCGATAAATATTTTTACAAATATTTATATAAATATATATATATATATTATATATATATTTATAAATATTTTTATAAATATTTATATTTGTTCCCTATATTGACGTGTGGGGTTTTTGTTTTTAGTTCTGTATCCGCTCCGTCCTCCTCCCGTCCTCCCGTTTTCCCATTTTCCCGTCCTCCCGTCCTCCCATCCTCCATATCCTCACTTATTCCCTCACTCATTTCACTCACTCACTCACCCACTTACCCACTCACCCACTTACCCACTCACCCACTTACCCACTCACCCACTCACCCACTCACCTACCCACTTACCCACTCACTCACTTACTCACTCACT